CCGCTCGGCCGTCTGCGACTCCCGCGTGACCTTCTGCCCTCTGGTGGTGACGTGTGACGGTGTGTGGGGACACGATGCCAACGTGTTCATCGCCCACATGGCTCATGCGCTGTTAGAGAAGGAGGGGTGGAAGGGTCGGGGGTTCAGTCATGTGTCTGGATGGATTCGCTCTCACTTGTCTATCGCCCTCGCGCGTACAACTAGCTTATGTCTGCGTGGGGGAGGGAGGGGAGGGTTTGCGGGACTGGGGTGTGCTGATGGGGCGGGGATTGATCCCTCCTCCCCTTGAGCCTGTTTGAGTCTGCGTGCTGATGGGACTGTATTTGAATGAGTATCACGGACACACAGACGAGTGTTACGGTTAATGACAGTTTCCCCCGTGAAAAGAGGCCCACGAGGGAGAAAGATCAGCGCATTTGCTGCAGCAGAGCCGAGCTTCTGTTAAGCTCGCACATCTTAGAGTTAGGGTCGACAAGGGTTTTGACGTTGGTGGATGAGTTGCCCTCCTCCGTCGGGGGCTCGGGACTCGCTCCGCGCTACTCCGCGTTCGTCAGGGGAAATGCGTGCAAAGCCCCCAAGCTCGCAGTAGGCCCCCACAAAAAAGACGGTACCGAATGAAAAAGTCTCGAGGCCCCAATTTGGCCCCAATTACAAACACGAACTTCGGGTAAGAGCGTGCCTCGCTCGCTCAAAGCTCGCGAGTCCCGAATGAGGAATTCCTCACCCGAAAAGGAAGTCCTCATTCCGACAAGGAACTCCTTATTTCACCGCCCCATTTAGGTCCGCACCTGATGAGTCAACCAGCCGTCCAGCTGGTCCAGCCTCTGTTTTGACGACATTCCAGCCCGCCCATCGCTCCCGTGCCGCCTCTCGGCTGGTTGGCTGGAAGAGGAGCCTATATAGCTGAAAGACAGAGGCCGCAGCATTGCTGCTGATATCGAATCACGACGGCAAGGGTGAGCAACGAATGCGTGACGTTGGTGGGAAGGGCGGATGGATGGATGGATGTCGTTGCTGCTGTGGTTGGTGCCTACCTGCAGACTGACGGAGTAGCTGCCTGACTCAGTGCCGAGCCTCAGGATGGCGCAGAAGGAGGACGGCTACGTGAAGCTCATCGTCGGCCTCAAGAAGGAGATCTTCTATGAGAAGAAGTCGCTGCTTGTCAATGTGTCGCCGCACTTCGAGCGGATGTTACACGGCGATATGGCCTGCAGCGAGAGGGACACCCAGACGATCAACCTGCCCAACATTCATCCCAACACATTCCGCCACATCAGCACATTCGCCACGCTGCACGGCATAGGGGATGGCTGCATGCTGGACCAGTACATGCGCAGCCTCCCTGGAGCCCTCCACATCCCGGCGGCGGACCAGTCCGACGACGAGGCGGCCAAGGCGGGCCTGCTACACCTGTGGCAGATGTGCAACTACCTCGGGATGGAGAAGCACGCCGACCTGCTGATCAACCGCATCATGGAGCACTTCAACTCGCCTCCTCTCAGCCCCCCAAGCCTCCCCACTCCCCGCTCCCCCCTTGACGCTCCTTATGATGTATACCCCGCCCAGTTTCCTTCCATAAGCTGGGGAGCACAGTATTACCCCATACCAGCTGGGACCGTCCACACGTACGCATCACAGCCTGCCCCTCCCCCCTCACAGCCTGCCCCGCCCCCCTCTTACCCCGCAATCGGCGACCGGCGTGAGGCCTTCCAGGGCGGCGTGTTGGCCTTTGTCCTGCGCGAGAAGCCGGCCTTGAAGAACGACGAGGCCATCAAGAACAAGGTGGTGGGGTGGGTGGTGTATAAGACCGTGAAGGAGGGATGGAAGGGTCAGGGGGCGGGTGAGAGTCAGGGGGCCGTAGAGAGAGAGACCTGTGATCAGGAGGTGCAGCGGGTGATTGACTGGTCAGGGGGATCAGCCACAAACATGCCGGAGGTGCAGCAGCTGATGGGGGAGATGCCCGCTGCGTGGTGGCAGACGGTCATCGACAGACTGGAGGACGCCACCTACGACATCGCACGTACGCACCGCTGGGATGCATTGATGGCCTGTGCGCTTATGTGTATGTGTATGTGTATGTGCATGTGTATGTCTGATTGATTCAGGTCGTATCGGCTTCCTGCAGTGTGAGTTGGAGCGCCGAGGGTGTCCTGCCGGAAGAGGCACAGCGGCTGGGACTATGGCGGACCCCAAGAAGCTGCAGAGGGAGCATGAGGAGACGAGGCTCGCTGCCGTTCGGGAGAAATTACGAGTGCTGCGGCAGCAAGGTGGGTACCTGAGGCGCGCCCGTCATTCACTCCTGCACCAACACGGGCTTGGCCTGATTGGTGTGGTCACTGTGTTGTGTTGTGTTGTGTTGTCTTTTGGGTGGGTGTTCAGGTGGCCCTGCAGCTGGCGATGCGTAGCCACCAGCGTGTGCAGTCGTCCCTCTGTGTGTGAGGAGGAGGAGGAGGAGGAGGAGGGGGTAGAGGAGGAGGGGGGACAGTTGACGTCCTGATGTGGGCAAGTATCTATGTGTTTGGTCAGTCGGTCTTTTCTTTGCCGGGGCGTCTCGTCTTGTGCGTCTTGTCACCTGGGTGGATGGGAGACTGTTCCTCCAGCAGCTGTCCGTCCCTCTCTGTGTCGGTCTCGTGCGGCTTGTGTCGATGTGAGTCGCATGATGCCTACGCAACGGGGAAGCGAATGGCTGCCGGAGGAGCGATCCGGTCGACGGCACTGTGTGGATGAGTGAGCATGTCGTTGCAATGCATTGGATGGACCGCTACTCTATCGAATGAATGGCCATCGATGGCGGGATGGACACCTTTGTAAGAAAGAGACCCTCTGACATGAAAATGATTCGATGCGACGCATCGGTGGCAAGCACCTTTAGTATTGACATTTGTGAGTCATCCAGAGCGCAGGACACTGTCCATCCATCCATTCATCCATCCATCCATCCCTCTGTATCGACCAACCCGTCACACACTGTCGTGTCTTCCTCAGCACTCACCGCACAATCGTCAGTCACACCAACACACACTCAACTGCAGCAGAGTGAGTGTTGGCGTGACCGAATCTGACAAGATGAGCACTGAGTCGGACCGGGCATGGTGGTACACACGACACACGAGGCACTCTGCATCCAGCAATGGATTGTCTGCATTACACTCAGCCAGTCAGTCAGTCAGTCAGATGCCATTGGCTCGTCAACTTCCATTGGCTTCTCCGTGTCCATGGCATCCGCCGCGTTGCCCACCTCCACCCCACTGCCACGGCTGCCGCTGCCAGGCTGCAGGAGGTCCGATGCGTGCGAGAGAGGACCAGTCACACCACCAACTGGCACAGCATCACCCACAGTGTATGGCGGGGGGCACTCCGGCTGCCGCTCGTGGGGGTGGGTCATGAAGTCCTGACACACACATGGTCAACCAACACATTCACACTCACTGCATGGGACGAGACAAAATGATTGAGGTCACGCGTGGCTCACATCGTGAGTTCGTTTGTTGGCCTGTGGTACTGCAGCAGCAGCAGCAGCAGCAGCAGTGGCCTCCTGACATACACACAGAGACACACACGCAGAGCAGATGACACCAACAGGTGCACCCTCGACAAGCCATTCTGCTTACCATGCCTGGCGAGGGTCCACCTGTAGAGTGGCTTCCACTCTCATCACCACCACCACCATCGCAGCCATCTGAACCAACCAACAAGTAGGCTTATTGGCCCTCCCTCACTCCCACTCGTGCGGACCTGTGGGAATCGCCTGGTTGAGGTCCGGGATCAGCCATGAGTCGCTGCCCATACGCGTGCGAGCCAGGGCCGCCGCCTGGGGAATGTCGTCGCCCTGGGGCTCCCCAGTGCTGTAAAGGCCGATGGATGCCTCCAGGTGGAACTTGCTCATGCGCAAGTATGCCGCGAAGGCGTCGTCTGGTCCGTCACCACGGAAGAGGACGCATCGGCTTGTGAAGCCCCATTCGCTGGTGCTGCGGATGGTGCGGCCGCTGGGCCTGCCTGCGACACCGTCGCCCTGGGGCCTCTCAGTGCTGTAAAGGCCGATGGATGCCTCCCGGTGGACCTTGCACGTGTGCAAGTATGCCGCAAAGGCGACGTATCGGCCTCTGGCGGTGCTGCCGAGGGTGCGCGTGCCCCACAGTGGCGTCCCGGGGCGCTGGGCGGTGAGCTCACCGATGCGGGAGGAGGCAGCAGACGACGGAGGATCCGAGGCACGTGCCACCGTCACACTGTCCCCCTCTAGCTCATAGGAGAAGAGGATGCTAGAAGATCAAAAGAGAGAAGGCACGGAATGCGACACGCTGCCTTAGTGTGTTGGTTGCCCACCGAATAGTGACCATCTCGCGGAAGCTACGATACTCGTCAACGTCGTCTGCAGACAGCCAGACAGCCAGACAGACAGACAGACAGACATCAAAAAGGGAGCACGACACCTGTTGATGCCTCTTACGTTGACAAGCAGGGTCGTTGGGGTCGAAGGTATCTCTGTACTCGCCCGGCACTGTCTCAGGTGTGTGCACCCTCACCCTCCACCCACCCAGCCCCTCACCCAACGCCCCCCGTATCAGCCCCAAGTCGCCATCTAGTCGATCTCCGAAGAGGCCATATTGCCGCATGCTCGCCGGTCGGCTGTCGATGTCCTCCTTAGTGCCCGCCCGCCCCACATCGCCCTCGTCCAGCTGGAGGGGCAGCTCTTGGATCCGCTTGAGGTTCTTGGCAAGCCGCAGCAGCGGCACACTGCCCGACCAGTCCCCCCCAACCTCCAGCACGTACCGCAGGCGGATCAGCCGAACCACACGACGGCGACTGGTGGACTGACGCAGCGGTCGGTAGTCGATGATGTTCTCCGGTCCCTTCCTCTTGATAAGGCCGTCGATGGCCGACGTCACGGCGGTCTCGACTGCACTGCTGCCGGCGTGTGACGTGCTGGCCATGGTGTTGCCGATCCGAGCGAGGGTGGTGGCCTCCTGGCCCTCTGGACCGATCAATTTGGCGAGTGTGTGGTGGAGCTCCGGTGGCAGGCCGTACAGCCGCTGCACGAACAAGTGGGGGTTGGAGGGGACGGCACCAGCACCAGCACCAGCACCAGCACCAGCACCACCACCAGCACCAGCACCACCACCACCAGCACCAGCACCAGCACCACCAGCAGCAGCGGCAGCGGACGACGCCGCCGCGGGATCGCCCAGCGAGCTCTCGGCACCGACCTGACCCTGCAGACATCACCGCACGCCGGCCCGCATAGTGACGCTAAGACTCAGCAGGCCCACATGCAGTGTGTACCTTCTTCTCATTTGGTACGGTAGTCTTCTTGAGTGCGAACTTCTTGAAGTTGCCCTCCAGCTGCACACATCGCATCGCATCAATCACACACACGCATCCACAGAGGGCAAGATGAACACATAGCATCCATCCACTGTTGCCCACCCACCAGAGCCAATCCTTTGAGATCCGACACGGCAGACTTGTAAGCCTCCATGGACGCGAAGAGCTTCGAGAGCGCACCGTTGGCCATCTTGACTCGAGATGCTCTCATGGGCGACTCCTGCGCGCACACACACACACACACACACACATGCCGCATTCACTCACACATGTCACACTCACACATCCCTCTCAGGTCGCTCACCGCGGCCTTCGTCGCCAGGTAGTTGAGTGCCTCTGGCGGCCCCTGTCACACACACACACAGAACACCCAAATAGCGAAGGCATGGCTGATGTGGTGTGTTTGTGCCGCAGGTGACAGAGAGAGAGCTACCTGTGAGTGTAGTCCCTCTAGCATAGTGAGAGTGTCGGAGATGTTGCGCAGCACACCAACCTAAACACACACACAGAGAGCGAGGCAACACAATCAAGCGGTGACGCTTGTCTAATGGGAGGCCTTTCGTTCGTTGCAGTGACTGACCGACTCATCTACTTGCGCGTCGCTGCCGAGCAAACCGCCACCTTGAGCGGCTGACACACACACACACACACACATCGATGGGCCGTCATGCGTATGTGTGTGTGTCTGTGTGTGTGGTGGTGCCTGCCTTCAGCTCACCTGCAGCCGCCGCCTGTTGGTTCATCATAGTGTGCTATGTGTCAATCACTCACTCACCACAACGAGCGAACACCTGCACAACACAGCACAGCACAGACACAAACACCGTGGTGTGATTGATGTGCCAGCCGTCAACGAGTGAGTCTCTCGTGGTGCTCACCCGCCAGTGACCAGCTGGTCTGGTCGGTCATTGATTCCTCAAGCTGTCAAGGCGCCGACCGATCTGCAGTCACTCACACACAAGCAAAGCAAAGCAAAGAAGAAAAAGCAAAGCACAGATTCCGTCCATTCTGACCGCTCTTTCGCCATGCTGCTGCACGCACATGCCAATCAGTGACACAGACCTGACGCCGAATGGCCGACGAATGAGTGAGTGGGCTCTGCGATGTCCGTCTGTCAGCAGCAGCGTCGGATGAGAGAGGCGCTCGAGCGAACCGATGCATGCGGCTGAGAGATTCCTCAATGCTGAGCCATATAGCTTTCACTGACGCCAACAGCCTGCTGAGAAAGAGGCCGGCGAGGGAGAAAGCGCGGTGAAAGACCAGCGCGTTTCCCTTGCCTCTTCTAAGCTCGCAACTTGGCTCGCAACTCTACTCTTGAGCTCCCTACCGCAACTCTTGAGCAAGAGGAGAAGACGGGAAGCGTAGGATGGGCAGGAAGGTGTTTTCGCGGCTTCTGATGAGTGAATCAGCCGCCCGCCCTCTGTTTTGACGACATTGCGGCCTGCCCATCGCTCCCGTGCCGCCTCTCGGCTGGAAGAGGAGCCTATATAGCTGAAAGACAGAGGCCACAGTACTGCTGCTGATATCGAACCACGACGGCAACATCTCGCCAAGGGTGGGCAACGAATGCGTGACGTTTGATGGATGGATGGATGTCGTTGCTGCTGTGGTTGGTGGCTGCCTGCAGGTCTGTATCGTCTGACGGAGTAGCTCAGCCTCAGGATGGCGCATGAGGAGGACGGCTTGGTGAAGCTCATTGTCGGCCTCAAGAAGGAGGTCTTCTACGAGAAGAAGTCGCTGCTCGTCACTGTGTCGCCGCACTTCGAGCGCATGTTGGAGGGCGAAATGGCCTGCACTGAGCGGGAGACCCACACGATCTCCCTGCCCAACATTCACCCCAACACATTCCGGCACATCAGCACATTCGCCACGCTGCACGGCAGCGCCGATACCCGCACGGTCGAGGAGTACATCCGCAACATCCCCGAAGCCACCCTGCTGCCGGCAGCGGACCAGTCGGACGACAAATGGGACCAGTGGGACGACGAGGCGGACCAGTAGGGCGACGAGGCGGCCAAGACGGGCCTGCAGCACCTGTGGTCCGCCTGCAACTACCTCGAGATGGACAACTACGCCGACCTGCTGGTGAGCCGCATCATGGAGCGCTTCGACGCATCGAGGGTGCATGCCCCTGCCCCTGCCCGGCGTGTTGGCCTTCATGCTGCGTGAGAAGCCGACCATGAAGGACGACAAGGCCATCAGGGACAGGGTGGTGGGGTACGTGGTGAACAAGATAGAGATTGGGTGGGAGGGGGAGGGGGAGGGGGAGGTGAAGGTGCAGCAGCTGATGTTGGAGCTGCCGCCCGAGTGGCGCACCACCATCGTCACCAGATCGGAGGACTCGGTGGTCAACTTCGCACGTAAGTTGGATGGATGGGTGGATGGATGGATGCCCCCGTGTGTGTGTGTGTGTTTCGTGTTCAGGTCGTGTAGGTCGTATAGCTCGAGGTGTGACTGCAGCAGGCATGTCGGATCCATGGAAGCTCCTAAGGCCGTCGTGCTGTCCCAGAAGCGGCAGCAGCAACGCAGCTGACGATGCTGACGAGTGGACGCCTCGGCGCGAGTTCATCCACGAGGTCCTCGAGCGGCCACCCCACACTCTCAGCGAGATGTACGCCATCGGGCACGAGATGGACGTCGGCTATTGCTCGGTTCTCGATGTCTGCACGCCCGTTTCTCTGCGGATCAAGGGCTACTGCGACGTCCACGATGGAGGGTCGAGCCGCGACTCGTTCGACTACGACCGCCGCCGTGACGTCATGACTGTCGACCTAACGAAGAAGCCGTCGGCCGTCTTCATCGGAGACTGGAGCACCGACCCCCCTACCTACGAGCCCGTCAACTTCTCGTGGAAGCGGTACCATCGGCCGTGCTTCTCAGGCGGCATGCTCACCATCGCCAAGGAGCATGTGCGGCCTGACCACCTGTGCACGACGGGGGGCCACCCCGCCCACCCGCACTCCGCGTCGCGGTCGGTGCAGCTGCTGGTAGAGATGAACAACACTCATATGGAGCAGTACTTCGTCAAGTAAGCGCAAGGCAGATGGATGCATGGATGGAGCAGAGAGAGGGGACCGACACATCGGTGTCTTGTGTTTGTGTGTCAGGCGTAGTGCTGATGAGGGTCAGGTGTGCCTCGTCGACGTGCAGAACTACCCGAGCCGAACCTCGAAGGGCTGCAGCAGGGCGACATCTTTTTTGTGCAGGGGTTCCGTATCCGCTCCGTCAAGGTGTCGGCTCGTGGTGCGACCAAATTCACGGCCATGAAGCCGATCCGTGGGGGGGTACGGCCGGTGGGTGGCACGACCAGGGGTGGGGAGTGGGGCGTGCAGTGCGAGCTGGAGCACGATGACGTCCTCTTCTATCAGCAGCTGGTGCTGAGGTTCGAGTTCCCGTTGGCCGACAACGACGCCGGCACCTCCTTCACAGAAGGGCCATGGTCGGCACACATGGCCCTGGACATGCCGAGCGGCAGCGAGCACGACGGCAGCTGTGTCGAGTTCTACCTCTTGCAAAGCAGCACTGGTGAGGCGGTGGGGGAGGTGGGTGGGTGGGTGGGTGACGTGTGACGTGTGTGACGATGTGCCTGCCTGTGTTTGTGTGCAGGTCGCTCTCCTGGTGATGTGGTCATTCTCACCGACATTCCGAGCACACCGAGCCACCACGCCTTCGTCCACAACGACAGCGTCATCAGCTTCGACCCCAACCAGGCGGAGCCCTACCACCCCCCGAGTGCCACAGGCGACCAGCCCTACTACCTATACACCTCCAGCAGCGTGCCTCGCTCGGCCATCAATGAGGACGGGGTATTCTGGGTCTTCCTGCGTTTCAGGGTGTCGGCTACTCAGCTCGGGTGAGATGGCGGGGCGGGGCGGGCAGAGAGGGAGGGATGGCGGGAGGGAGAGAGGGAGGGAGGGAGGGAGGGAGGAACGTCCATCCATCCATCCATCCATCCAACGTCTGTCGTCTGTCTGTCTGTCTGTCTGTGTGCAGGCGGGACAGCCGGCGACAGCTGACGTTGCCGTTGGCGAGCCTCTTCCCGGCGTTCTTCGGCGGCCGCCTCAAGCTCGACAAACTCATGCGCATCGGCGTGGGCGTGGACAGCAACTACATCATCCGCCCCAGCACGATCCCCGGCATGCAGCCCCCACTCCCTGAGCCCACTCCTCCCGGCCACTTCTGGTCCACGGAGTGGTGCAGCAATCCCGAGGAGAACGTGCTGAAGGCTCTGCGGCACAAGCACGCGCAGGACCCCTCGACAGCCATCCAGCTGCAGATTCGCCAGAGGGACAACGCACTGGTGGCGCCTGACGGCCCGAGACCAGTGCGCGCGTCGGCCCGCGTGGGGCAGCCGAACCCCCGGATGGCGGCCGCCCTGGCGCAGAGCGCCCAGTACACGGGTGCATCCATCACGGAAGTAGAGGAGGCGACTCAGGGGGGAGAGGCAGAGACGGGGGGCGACGAGTCCGGCTCGGCGGGCGACCGATAGATAGAAAACTTACTCGCTAAGGGGATGGGTGGGTGGTAGCCAGCAGGCGGCAGGGTGTAGCTAGCTTGGCATGAATCGCATGAGTCGGCTGCTCGATGGCTGCCTCATGTCTGCCTGTCTGCCTCTCGACGGATGGCTGCAGCGTGTGTTCATGCCGTTGCTGTGACGTTGCCGTGACTGCATTGGATGGATGGATGGATGGCTCGTAATTTGGCACCTTCTCTCCTTGTGTCGTTGGATGGCTGCAGCGTGTTCATACCATTGTCGTGATGTTGCCGGGGATGAGATGGACGGTTGGCTGGCTCGATGGCTCGTAGTTTGGCACCTCCCTTCCTGTCTTGTACAGGCAGACAGAGAAGGGGGTGGGTGTCTTGGACTGACGGCCATCCATTCTATTGACCGGCTCATTGCATGTGTGTGTGTGGACAGGTGAGAGTGACGCGTGTGTTGGATTGGATTAGATGCAGTGCTCTTGATGTCAACGGATGGATGGATGGACACCAAACACTCGATTGCACCTCTTCACACGCATCCATTAATCCATCTGCTGTACAGCAACATGTACATCCATGAGTGCAATCGACCGGATGGAGAGTTCCCTCCTCCAGCAGCCACTCGACCACCCCACTGCACAGGAACCAAACGACTTGCCTCAGCACAAGCCGCAAGGTACCTAGACAGCAGGCAAATGAGCTGTCGGAGAAAGAAACTCTCGTCCATCCGAAAACACACACAAGGCATCAGCACGTGTGTGTGTTTGTATTGATCAGTCAGTTTGATGGCGTCTGTGAATTTGTCTCGGTGTCTTCGTCAAAGACATCGATGTGGGCGCCCGCCTCGTACTTGTCCTCCAGCAGCAGCCTCACCATCTTGCGGGAACTCACATCTACACACACACACACAGAGTGAGATTGGGTGTGTGTTAGGGGAGGGGGGCGCACCTACATGGGTCGACGAGCGTGTTGTTTTTCTCCATGTCCCTGAAGGACTGGATCATCGACTCTGACGCACACTTGCCCTCAAACATAGGCTCAGTCATGGCCGTCCGCATCGGACCTGCACACACCAATCACACCACACACACAGTGGTCTACATCTGTCTGTCCCCCATCTGCACAAGCATTCACGCGCCCACCTGGCGCATAGCTGAGTGTCTTGACATCGCATTCCGTGGTGCCCTTCTCCTCAGCGGCCACCTGGAGCATCAGCATGTCCCTCGCCGCCTTGCCCATGCAGTACAGACCAAATGCGGGAATCGCAACCTTGGCTGCGAGGGAGCTGATGTTGACGATCCGCAGCCTCTTGGCGCGTGGCGGGGCGGCGCCGTCATTCGGTGCGACGAACCGCAGCAGCCGGCTGGTGAGGAGGAAGGGCGAGCCGATGTTGAAGAGCAGGTTGGTGCGGATCTCGGCCGGAGAGATGTCGCGGATGCTGTCGAGAGGGCCCGTGTTGGCCGAGTTGTGGATGAAGTACCTGCATGGTAAGAGGACAACAGTGGACAGGTGCGCTCTCTTTGGTTGCCGTCGGTTGGAGAGAGAGAGAGTGGGCGCCTTACACTTGGTGGAAGGGGCCTGATACTGCCCACTCGGACGAGAGGATGGCGTCGAAAGCCCTGCCGACGTCCTCCAACGGGCCAGCCAAGTCACACCTGCACACACACACACACACACAGAGAGAGAGAGAGAGAGTGAGAGCAGGTGGCCTGATGTCTGTCTGTCTGTCTGTCTATCTGTTACCTGTGGATGGCCACCGTCAGTTGTGCGTCTTCTGCAATGCCGTCCTGCGCCTCCTGCCACGTCTGCTCCATCCCATCTGTGTCCTGCAGCCACACACAAACAACACACACACACGCGCAGATGAGGCACATTCCTCGTGTTTGCATTCAGCCAGTGCCGGATCTGTCTGTTGTTGGCTGACTTACCCGTCCGATGAGCAGAAAGTGCGTCTTCTTGTGTGCCGGAGAGTTGCTGAGCGCCTTGGCTATTTCCACGACAATGGCTTTGCCGAGGCCGCGGGACGCACCCGTGACGACGACGAGCGTCTTGCCTTGCTGATCGGCCATGGTGATTGAGAAGTGTGAAAATAGCGTGTTGGGAGGGTTCAGGGTTTAGGGTTTCTCTGCGAGCTTGGTGGACGGGAGCGTTCGTTTTCCCCGACCTCCCTGAGGCCGCCCTCATCAAAGATCCCTCCGTCATGGGTACGATTGAAAGATCCCACATGCAGATGGACTCAGATTGTGAGTGTTATGTGCCTCTACATCCATGTCTGCCGTTTCTCTCCCTCTCTGCTGATGTGTGTGGACTGAGCAGATTACCTTCGAGCAGGTGCTGTGTGACCGTCGAGCAAGAGCCTGACAACACTGGAGTGGCGGAATCTTCGGGGCCCCTCTGGTGGAAGGAAGCGCGCGAATGCCGCAAGCAGACGGCCGCCCGGTGAGGGCGGTGATGCGTGGGCGGCCTGCACGCACGTGCACCAGTGCATCCTGACCGATGAAGGCACCGTGGCGACGCACGCCCATGAGGTACGCCAGACGTGCGCCCAGACGTGTGCAGAGCACCGAGCCCATAAGTGTGTCATTCATGCAGATCTGCCTGCTGGGGACCAGCAGAAGGATGCAGCCCACTGAGGCGACGAGGAGGGAGGGAGGGAGGGGCCGTACTTACACGAGTGCTGCGCTGTCCTGTGTGTGTGATCGAGCGATTGTGTACTACCTGTTTCTGCGTTCCTGCGCACACATCTGCCTCTCTTGCCGTTCTTCTCTACGTTTGTTGCCTCGCCCATGGAGTGGTCACGCAACACACGTGGAGGGCGGGGGCGAGAGAGGCATATGTGAGCAGCAGGCAAGAGAGAAAGGGCTTTCTTGTGTTGTGTATACCCACTCACTGTGTACTTGGCTTGCTGCTGCTGCTGCATTTGTGTGAATGTGTCCGAAAGGACAGTAGAGCAGTCCCCCGACTGCGGCTGTCTTGCAACCCCCCACGGGAACGGTGAAATGTGAGTCTTGATTGGTTCTCGTGTTTCTCCTTTGCCATGGGGCGGGCAGGACAGCAACAGACCGCCGGCTGACTGTGGCTGGCCGACTGAGGGTGAGTGTCCGAGAAAGAGAGAGAGCAAGGGCTGGCTCGTATTGTCTATGGCTGCTTGTCTGCTTGCTACCTTGGTGTGAGTGTAACGAAACGAAAGTAGTGCTCCGACTGTGGTTGTCTGTCCTCGAGAGTGGCAACGGGGAAGTGTGAGGCTTGGTTGGTTCTCATGTTTCTCCGTTGCCACGGTGAGGGCAAGACAGCAACAGGGGGCGGCTGAATGGATGGCTGAATGTACGAGAACGCCTCTCTGATCGATGCGAGGGCGCCTTTCTGCAACACTGTGCTAGTGCTGGTGTGTGTGAAAGTAGCGTGTGTGTGTGTGTGTGTGTGCTGACTGGGAGGAAGGAACTGACCGGTGTGTTGTTCTATGACCGTGAGCATGACTGAAGTCGCATTATACAGACGCTGTTTGTCTGTTCGGGCCGACAGAATCCTCTCATCCATCCCATTGTATGCACACAAACCAACGCAGAGATATCAACGCTCACAGAAAAACGTGTTATCCTTTCTGTCTTCCTCAGCGCTCGTCGCACAGGGGCCGCCGATCACGGCAACACACGCGCGCGCGCGCTCGTCGCACAGGGGCCGCCGATCACGGCAACACACACACAACACTCCAGTGTTGTGAAATGTGCATTGACCTGTGCCGCAGCCAAGTGATGCACTGAGGCGGGCAGGACATGGTGGAAAACACGACACACGAGGCATTGTCTGTCTTACACTCAGTCAGCCAGTCACAGTCCGCCGTCCGTCTGCTGCTGTCTTGCACACACCGCGGCAACGGAGAAACATGAGAGCCAACCACGCCTCACACTTCTCCGTTGCCACCGCGTGTGTGAGACAGCGACAGCCGGTGCATGACATTTCTTTCGCACAAGGTCAATCCTTATGACGCATGATAGATAGCCCATGTTAACACCGCCGCTTGTTGCCTCCTGCCCACCCCGCTCACGTCGGCCTCTCCCACAGCCACCCTCCACGTGTGTCGCGTGACCACTTGATCGGACACGCAACAGGCGTGAGGGGCGTGTACAAAAGGCCCGATGTGTGCGCATGGAGCAGCGCGGCGTTGATGCAAAAGAAAGGCCGTGACACACATACATAAAACGGATCTCCAGGTAGGCATCTCCAGGTTGTTCTTGGTCTGTTCTCTGCCTGCCTAGACTCATGCATCCGCCCTCTCCTACCCGCAGGCACTGACACCCACATATCGGGATATACAATTGATATCATATAAGGTAGGTAGGAAGCACCAAAAAGACCCTACGCATCTCTCTAGACCAAACAGACCAAAAAGACCCTCTCAAATATGATGTATGCATGCATGTATGTGTGTATATGCATATACCTCATCTCTCCCCCCCCCCTCTCTCTCCAGCTCTCTCCTCTCTAGATGACATTGACCTCCGTCCATTTGGTCTTGCCGCCCTCTGTCTTGAGACCGTAGAGGCCTCCGTTCTGCACACTGGTCGGCTGCTCGCACGCGTCGGTGACCAGTCGCGCCAGGTCCTCCAGCGGAGTCCAGTTGCTCTTGTCCGCCTCAGGCATGGTCTTGCGGTTGGTGGGGGTGTCGAGGACCAACGGCAGGAGGCCCATCACTCGCGAGTTGGCCGGCATGCCGCTGCCGGGCTCTGCCAGAGACTGCACCATCTGATGAACGAAGGCCTTGGACGCACCTGCACACACAGAGAGACGATTTCTTGCATGGATCGTGTGTGTGCGTACGTCTGTGCGAACCGTATGCGAGCATCTTGGGTGTTGCGTTGAGGGCAATGAGGGCCCCGGGAAGGATCATGAGGCCGCTGGGCTTGAGGAACTTGGTCGCCAGATTGGCGCAAATGATTGACGTCCCCACCGTGTTGCTCACCTGTTCACACAACACGACCAACACACACACAGGGAGAGAGAGGGCTAGAGGTGACTCCTCTGTGTGTCTGTGTGTCGTCACGTCGAGTAGGTACGTACGTACCATTCGGTATGAGTCGTGGAGGAATGAGGGACTGTCCGCGCCGCCGAGGGCAAAGCCTCCACTCAGGTTGACAATGGCGTCGAACTGCATGGCATCGCACACACAACACATACATCCATACATCGATCCATCCAGACAGACAGGCAGACCGACAGACGGACCTAATCCCTTCCCCTCCCTCCCTCCCTCCCTCCCTCCCTCTCCCTCTCTCTGCACGTGTGTCTGTCTTACGTGTGTGCGCCCGAGTTGCTTCATGATGGGCTGCAGGTCGCTGGTGACCTTGTCGCCCTGCTCCAGCAGCGGCGGGCCTTCCACGTGCACGAAGTGGTCGGGGCCGGGGCTGCACGACACCTTGTTGACGTCACAGCCGACCACTTGCCACGTCCGCTTGCGGAACGCCGCGCACAGGTAACTCGCCGCATCACCTGAACGAACAAAGGAACGAACGAACAGTTCGGACAATCAAAGAACAACAGTCGGGTGCGGCGCCTGCGGGCAGCTGGGTCTCTCTCGCCTGGTCTGCGTGTGCTTGAAGCACGTGTTGTGTGAATGTACGTGTGACCTACCGCAGCAGCCGTACAGCAGGAGGAGCTTCTGAGGCGAACCAGCCATCTGTCAATCCAACTCGCTTGCTGCACACAGATCTGTGGAACTGGCCTGCCGCCCTGCCCCGACGCTATTTCACGCTCCCTTTCCGCCCGTCCCCCCGCGCGCAGCTGCGAGCTTAGCCCTCAGTAGGCGACGTCGGATCTCTGAAATGGAAGGTCTGGTCAAAGGGGAAGACCTGGAGAAGGAGATCTGTGTATCATGAGCAGTCAGGGCGCGCCAAAGTCATCTGCCTCATCAGGTATACGTGCCCCTGCGCAGATGTGTGTCAGGCTAGTACAGGCATGATGATGTGTCAATCTACACAGCTGCACATCTCTGCTGAATGTTGAATGCGGCAGATGAGTGCCTTCTGGGCGGTTGTCACCGGTGCAAGTCGAAACTACGGCGCCGCCATTGCAGCCATGTTTGCCCGCCACTTCGGAGCGAAGAATGGCGTTGAGGAGGTCCATCTCACCCTGCTGTCGCGCGTGAGCTTTCCGTACGGATGACGGACACATTTGTTTGCATGGCCGTCTGTGTGGATGTCAGGACGAAGCTGGCCTGGAGCGTGTGAAGGCCATGTGTGAGGGCGGCGACAGAGTGACGGCGGCGTGCGAGGTGGCAAACAGTGAGGACATAGATAGATCTGACCATGAGACCATCCGTCCGTCCATGTATTGCAGGTTGGATCTTGCTGACCTAGAGTGGCTTCCCGAGCGGTTCAGGGATGTCCTTGAGAGAGAACAGCAGACTCACGGGCCATTCGACCACATGTAAGGCTTTGCAATGCCAACCGTCCTTGGAGAAGATCCCTGTCTGTCCTTTCAGGTATGTCTTTCTGAACTCGGGCACACTCGGTGCGATTGTCCACATCCGGGACCAGACCGCAGCTGAAGTGCAGACCAACATGGAGGTCAACCTCATCGCGCCCACCGTCATCTGCTCAGTCCTCTTGCAGTGGCTTCAGCAGCAGCAGCCAGCGGCCACGGCCACCCGTCCGGTCAGCAGCTGCCGCATCGTCGACATTTCGTCGCGCGCAGCCACTGGGGCTTATGCGGGCTTCAACCTATATGGCCTTTGCAAGACAGGCAGGGCCATGTTGACGAAGGTCATCACGGCAGAGAGGCAGGACGAGTTGAGAGGCGAGAGCCATGGTGGTGCTCGTGTTGATGTGAAGACGCTGAGCTTCGCACCAGGCCGGATGCTGACGGGCATGACGCTGCCTGTGGTCGAGAACGGCTGTGTCAACCAGGCATTCACCGACGAGTGCCGCAGACTGCACGCGACCAACGGATTCCTCGACCCACGTACGCCAACTGCACGGACACGGACCTGTGGGTGCGGGTGGATCTCTGTGTGTTTGTTTTGGTGCGGGTGTGTAGATGTGAGCACGAGTCGCTTGATGGCGTTGCTGGACAGAGATGAGTTTGAGTCGGGCGCGTTTGTATCTGTCGGTGACAAGCGGCAGGAGTGGGACGACATGGACTGTCCGTAGGATAACATTTAGCAGATCGCGAGAGAGAGAGATGGATTGAGAGGGATGGATGGAGTGGGCAGTGTGTATGTGTGTGCGGACTAATGAGTGATTGAACTGATCACCGATGGACAGATACTGCTGCCGATGGACAGATACTGCTGCCCTCAATCCATCAGCCGCTGCCTTCGCACACGCCGCACCGCCGACCGCAACACCACACACCACACCTGTGGCTGCCTGTGCGCTTCAAGAGGCCCGTCATGCTGCAGCCATCCAACTGGCGCATTGCCTCACTCAGTGCTCGTTCCATGCCTCACTCACGTGAACTATCGTGACAAACCGCACCCTACTATGACGTCAGACAGAGAGTTCCTGGTGTCAAGTGACGACCGTTTGGATGTGTCCAGGTGGTGTGGGTGTGTATGTGACCGATTGCTGCACGAACAGATGGATGGACCGAACAGACACCCATCAGACCTTCAATCATCCTTACAGACACCCGTCAGACCATCTTCGTCTCACCACACACAAACAGCAGCAAACATACGGACTTGTTCGTCATCGACACGGGAGGGTCACGCGCAACAGCACACTCACACCAAGACACACGGACGAAAGGCATTCACGCTGGAAAAAAAAATGGGTTCTCTCATGACATAAGAGAGAGCGTATGTCTTCCATCTCTAGCATCCCGCCCGCTGCGTGACTGACTGTTCAGGCAGCTTCACGGACAAAGACGCGCACACTGGATAAAGCGACGGACTGGATTCTCGTCTTCTCATCTCACATCTCACATCTCACATGTCCAGTCTGTTCAAAGAGGCGGGTGAAAAGCCGCGTAGACTTGAGAATACGATCGATGTAGAAGGCAGAAAAAGCGCCGGCCTGTTCAAAGTGGCAAACGACGCACGTACCATTTGATGACACAATCGATCCAGAAGACACAAAACATATAAAACGACGGCGGCGAACAAATCGCCCGACCGCTTGCCTTGCCTGCCTTCTTCCTCTCAGCTGGTCTGCTTTGCCACTCGCAAGGTGACGAGTGCACCCACCGCTCCTGCAGCCGCCAGCATGAGAGCATTCTTCCACAGAGGTTGTGCGAACGGGTCGGACTCGTGACGCTAAGACAGAGACACAAAGAGACAAATGTGAATGGCACATACACGCATGGAGCGTGTGTGGGTGGGCATCCTTCGGCTGCTGGTGGGGTGTACGTCATCTGTTTGCCTCACTCTCTCACCTGATTTGCGAATCTTTGGGCGAGGGCTTTTCCGCACATCGGTGCCCAGAGAGAGGAACGAGCGACTGATGGACAGACAGCGACAACACGAAGCAAGGTATACATACATGTGTCTGGCCGTCTGTGACTGGTCATTGTTCATTGTCTGTGTGGTGATGTGAGCACTACGCACCGTCTCGTTCGAACTCCCCGCACGCGGCGGCGCCAAAGCACGACTGCCCGGCAGACTTGGCCAGATCCTCCACGTCAAGCGTGCCGTTCCAGCTGCATTAACGAATGCCACACACACATTGTATCGGTGGGTTGTCGTGGGCCTCATCCGTCGCCCCGCCCCACTCACCCCTTCCACCAGACGTCGTCAGTGAAAGCCCTGGCATGCCACCGACGGTATATGACAGCCATCTGCACACACACACACACACACACCGCAGACAAAGGAGGAGATGCCGTTGCCGTCCGTGCGTACTCGTGTGCCAGAACAAGTGTGTGTCGATGATATGGTGACTGACCTCGTCGCACGCAATGGGGAGTTCCAAAGGTGAGCACCCCTCGCGCATGTTGCGCATCTGTGAAGTCATGGCGATGGCGTCGCGCGACGGGACGTTCATCTGCAGCAGGTACTTGAGGCCCCTGGGGAGCGGCAGATGGTCCATCGTCACACCCATCAGCGCGGAACTCGCATAGCTCGACAGCAGCAGCCGACTCATGCCAGGGGCTGACAGACCAGAAAGACATCAGACGGACAGGAGAGGGGCTTCTTGTGTTCGTGATTGTCTTGTGCTGTGTGATGCTGTCTGTGCGGTGCTGTGTGGTGTGGCTGATGCACACCCATAGGCACGCCGAAGATGTAGAGGTTGGCGATTTGGCTGCCAAAGACCAACCTCACGATGCCCAGACATGGCGCCACCCACTCGAGCTCAAGACTGGTGGCTGAATGCACCCGCACACACACACACACACACACACACAGACACAGACGTTCCGCCTTCTCCCCTCTCCTCCCTGTCTGTCTGTCGGCCTGTCTGTGTGTCTGTGTGTGAGTGCATTGACCGACCTTCATGGGCAAACTTCTCGGACTCACGCACCTGAACTCCTTTGATGCCCGTCTTTGTCGGAGTGACCTGCATCCATCAGCACGGCACGGCACGCACACAGACACACCGATCCATCGAGGAGAGCCCAGCTGCCTTCTCTGTTGTCCTGTCTTGTCTGTGTGTGTGCAGCCGTCTTGGGCTCACCACTTGCTTGAGTGGGCAAGCGAGCCCTCGCGAGGTGAACTGTCCGTCATGGACAAAGTTGACGTGCGCGTGGTCGAGGACGTTCTCCACCCACAGGCTGTGATCAATAGGCGTCTCGAGGGACCAGCCCGACCACATCATCTTCCTGTCGGTGAAATCTTCAAAGAACGGAATGAGGCCGCCGTCAGCCTTCTCGACGTCACCTGCAGCCAGGGCAATACCGATGCGTCCGTGGCCGTCTCGGCGCTGTTGTTTGTTTCGTTCTGTCATCTCACCTGGCCACACCCACACAAGGTTGTATTTCTCGACACATGGGTAGGCCTTTGTCACAGCTTGGGCGGGGATGCTCTTGTCGTGCAGCAAGAAGGGGATGTGGTCCACCGCCCCGCTGTGGCTGTCGAACTGCCAGCCGTGATAGAAGCACCTGCCAGCAGCCACAGCAGCCACAGCAGCACAGAACAGACAGATCACAGTGAGTGTTCAAGTTGCATTGGATTGTCTGTCGATGGTACTCGAGCTTTCCGTTGACGACGCGCCCAACCGACAGCTTTGCTGCACACCACACATACAGACACACAACACACGACTGCAGCCACTCACTTACAAGTGGATAAGCATCTCCCATCTCCTGCTCACCGTTCTTGTGCGGGCAGCGGTCAGCGAAGCATCGAACCGTATTGCTCTCGTCCCGAAAGAGGGCCACGGGCTGCCCGAGTATTCTTGTGGCCAGGGGGCGTTTGCAGGCGCCCTTCTTGGGCACTTCCTTGTGAGTGCACAGTGGGTACCATGCATTGTTGACGTCGGTGCTGACGTGAGAGATGCCGTGGAAGATCTCGGCTGGGTTGGCCTGCACAGCACACACACACACACACACACACACACACACGTGCACCGAACATGTTGGCTGGCATTGCTTTGATCCGGCCTCTTTGATCTGCCTGGCTCATCAATCATTCATCGATCACCAACCTGCGATGTTTGCGGCCCGTTTTGATGGATGGATGCCGGGCTCATGTTGGCGGACTCTCGAAGCTTATAAACACAGAAGCGAAGCGCCTCAGCGAACGCGCTGATTCATTCTACGAGCTCGCACATGACGAGTGAACGGATCGTAGTTGTTGTAAGTGTTGTATTGGTGCACCGTGACGCTTCCACGTCCCCCCTGCTGTAGCTCGGTGGATGCATCTATGATCCACAGTATATGCGACGAGGTCAGTGAGGGAGTGAGTGCACCCAAGCAGGCTTATGCTGGATGAATGGATGGATGGATCTGCCGCATTCGTGTGTGTGTCTGTGCATCTGTCTGCCCATAGGCTTCTTCTTCCTCGCCGTTAGCGTCATCACCCAGCTGCTCCCCTTCTTGTCGGTCATCTCGTTCATCCTGCTGCCGCTGCCATTCTACCTGCCCCTCGCCCACGCCCTCCCCACCCTCTCCCGCGGCTTCCGCAACCGGTCCTTCCGCGTGTGTGCGCCGGGCGACGCCGGCGACTTTTCGGCTTCTTCGGGACCGACGCCGGCCAAAGGGGGGGGGCGTTCACCGACTTTCCCGTGGGAAACGGGAGGCGGCGATTGCAGAGGGGATGTGCTCGCTGGTGCGGGGGAGCCGAGACCGTACGGAGGGAAATGCAGGTCGGTCGGTGGGCGGACCAGACGACGAGACGATGCACAATTCATTTGCGATTGCGGATCGTGTGGTTGGTTGGCCGTGGTGCGATGTGTGTGTGTGTGTGTGTGTCGGTCCGTGTTTCTCCAGGCGCTGGCCATCAACGACCGCGTGCCTTCCGGCCCTTTCACGCTGAACTGGTGCCGCCCCTCTCACTGGCCATCGTCAGCACACAGACACGCACAACCAGACAGACAGACGCATGAGCATCCCATCCAGCTCTCTGTATGTGTGTCTGGTATGGGTGTGTGTATCCACCAGCCGCACGGGCGCCCTCCTGACTGGCGGAGTTGGCACCTTCATCGACCGCCTGTGGCGGCGCCAGATGGTGTATGAGAAGAGGGAGAAGAAGCGGATCGAAAGAGACGAGGAGGAGAGGACGGAGAAGGCCAAGGCCAGGAGGGCGGGGCTGCCGGGGTGGAGGGCGAGGCGCCGGGGCCTGCGAGGGGCCAGGCGGGATTTGTGATGGAGGCGATGGCGATGTGATGGATGTGATTGTGGCGGTTGATTGGCGCGTGCACGAGAGGTGCGGTGTCCACTTTTTAGGTCTTTAGCATGCGCCGCCGGGTGCATTTAGGCGTCTGTATGTCTGTGAACGAACGTGGTGCGCTCTGACTTCCTCCATTCTCCATTAATTCATTGGCCAGTTCGGCTGCGCGAGCTTAAAAATGCGAAGGGACAGGGCGAATCTTGCCGCTGAAAGCGATGAAGTGCGCACGGTGAGCAGCAGCCGAGATGCTATCTCTCACCGTCATCTTCGCCCTGTTCATCGCCTTCCTGGCCTTCTGGGTGGTCTACCTCTGGCGCACCGCCTCCCACCTCACGTACCTCGACGACTGGGGACCCGACTGGTTCGCCTATGGCGTGCGATGGTGCCTGCTGCGGTTCTTCGGACTGGGCGGGCTGAGGTTCGGCGGCATGGTGTGTGTGGACGAGAAGAACTGGGACCTGGACCGGCAGTACCTGGTGTCGTGGCACCCGCATGGGATCTACACGGTGCTGCCCTTCCTCGTCGGGCCGCTCAGGATGATCGAAACCACATGCAAAATCGTGGGGAGGGAGAGAGGGAGGGAGAGAGGGGGGCAGGGAGTGTGCTGACTGTTTTGGTCTCTCTCTCTGTATATTTGCAGAGGACAAAGGCGGTTGGTGCGGTGGCTTCCAGCCTGTTCTATGTCCCTTGTGAGTGGCGTGGCCTGCGCGTGTGCAATTGGGCATTTGTGGTGTGTGTATTTCGTTGTGTGTGATTCAGTGCTTCGTGAGATCTGTCTGTGTTGGGGTGCGCGGCCAGCAGACAGGGAAATTCTCAGCATGGCGCTCAAGAACGGTCAGTCACCAGCAAGACGGCGAATGAGCGTTGGATTCACATACACAGTATGGCATGCGTGTGTGTGTGTGTGTGTGTGTTCAGGCAGGACGCTGTTCATCACGCCTGGCGGCATCTACGAGCAGGTGCACACCGACCCAAAGCAAGAGCAGCTGTACCTACCTAAACGGCTCGGCTGGATACGGCTGGCCATCGAGTGAGCCCACACGCCCACACACCCACACACCCGTGAAAGTGTCTGTGTGTTGCTGCAGGCACGGCGTGCCACTGCTGCCGTCATATTCGTTTGAGGAGACGCGTGCGTTCAGTGTGCCCGAGTGGGGGATGCGGCTGGCGCGCTACACCGCCCGCAAGATGAACTTTCCCATCATCCCTCTGAGGGGCAGGTGGGGCCTGCCGCAGATACCCAACCCAGTCACAATCACACTCGGGTGAGAGAGAAACACAAAGGGAGGAAGGCAGGGAGGTCATGTCGAGTGTATGGTTGGTTGGCCGTATGTCCCTCCCCTCTCTCTCTCTCTCTCTCTCTCTCTCCCAGTATAGGGCGGCCAGTGGAGGTGGGTGAGCCTGACCCAAACCCCAGTGACGAGAAGGTGGCCAAGGTGCTGGCCACGTACCTGGAGCACCTGCAGGAGGTCTTCGGTGAGTCAGCCAGCCAGCCGGCCACACACACTTGAGGCATACACACACATCACATGCATGTGATGTGTTTGTCAATCTATGTGTGTTCTGCAGACATGTTCAAGGACCAGTCCCTGCCGCCCGAGGTGGCCAAGAAGGGGCTCGTGGTGCACATGAGGGGCCACCTCTCCAACACGGCCGTCCTGCCCAAGTACGTCGACGTCATGAACACACACACTCATCAAGACAGCAAGACCAAGAAGGCCAGCTGACCTGATCGGTCGGCCGGGATCGTAGTGTGTATAAGGGGGGCTTGCTGCTGTGTAGACTAGGGTGCTTTCTCTTTGAGACGGCTTGTTTGTCTGTCGTTGTGTGAGGCTGTTATCGCTCGCTCTTCTTTCTGTATGTGTATAGCGAGGAGCTGTGTGTGCATCTTATATATATTTGTTGGCTGCATACGGTGTGTGGCTTCAACGAGGAGAGTAGCGAGAGCTACGTGGGGATGGATGGATGGATGAGACCTGTGCCATTTTTCCGCTTCCTCTCTGTCTGCGTGTCATTGCCCTTTCCTACTTCGTGCGTTGTGTGGATGTGTGTGAGGGGACGGTCGCGGCACTTGCAGCCGAGGCCAACCCATCACTGAGGCTCATGTGACGAATGAGGCAGGAAAGAGTGCGCCACGTGTATGTGGACTCGGCTGCTGTCGGTTGTTGTAGTTAGCTGGACACCCTCCCTTCTATCAAGACAAGACGACGACATCCATTCTCACTCAGAGCAGTGTGTAAGCATCCGTCTGAGTGTCCATGACACCACAGCACCACCACCACACACACACATACACACGGATACAGACGCAGCACAGACAGAGAGCCCCAACGTATCAGCACGATAGATAGATACATTCACTCACACGCACACACCACAGTCGATCCAAGAGCGTTATGTGCGCACATGACGCTCACATAGGAGGCAGAAAGAAGCGAAGTATATAAAGGAATTCCTGCCACCAAGGTATACTCATGGCGACAGCGGCGGTCGCATACCTTGGTGGTGCCCATCCCCGCCGATTCCCGCCGCCTGCTTGGCGGCAGTCGTTGCCCGCACAGCCAACGCCTCACGCAGCCTGCACAAGCAACCACACACACATACACAAACGTCAATCGATGTCTCCCCCCTCCCTCTCTCTCTGTGTGCCGTTCCTCTGTTCCCTCTGTCGCTCGCTCACTTGTCATATGTGGATTGGTCGGCGGTGTTCTCGGTGATCTTGTGCCGCACCCTGGCCTTGGGGGCCTTGGGCTGCATCTCGGGCATGTCCAGCCACGGAATCCGGTGAGAAGCTGTCGGATCTGTGTCTGTCAATCAATGAATCAATCAACACACACATAAACAAGGGTGGGGCGCGTGGCGTGCAGGGGCCACACACAAAAACAGAAAAGGGACACCGATGGATGGATAGATGGGTTGAATGATTGAATGACTGATTGACATACCCACCTCCGAGGAGTATGTCAAGTGAGAGGTGTGCGGGGACTTCTGCGACGGCGTATACGGTGTTGTTGCGGAGGTCACAGATGGGCAGGCACTTGAACAGGTCGGGCATCACCTCGTCGCACTGCAGACGGTGCCGCACCTGTGGGTGGAGGGACAGAGAGAGAGGCACAGTTTGTCTCTCTCTCTCTCTGTGTGTGTGTCTGTCTGTCTGTCTCTCTCTGGGTGCTGCTGGCGGACTCACTTTCTCGAAGACGAGTTCTTTCTTCTTTGCCGGATTGCCGTGCTTCGCCAGCAGCCCCACCCACTCCTACACACACACACACACACACACACACGTGCCGTGTCTCTTGTCGATCTGCCCACGATGTCTCTCCTTGCTCACTCTGTCGTCAAACATCATCCTGTAAAAGTCAAAATCGTCGCCTTCCCGAAACGGCGCCGCCTCAATCACCACATCCAGCAAGTGCGTTGTCGGCTGAAACACCACCCTCGGCAACTCACCCTTCGCCTTATACTTGAAGGCAGAGAACGTCCTCTCGCCGACGGACGGACGGTCCAGTCCAGCACCGCTCAGAGACTTGAGCAGTGCAAAGCTTCGCCGTCTTAGTGACTCGAGGGAGCCGATCTGGATGGATTGCCGCGGGCTGAAGTGGTGTTCTGGTCGCGCCGCGAGGTTGGTGAGGGTGTCTCTCCTCTTGGGCTGCTCGGGGGAGCCTCTGTCTGGGTCGTCCTTCCTCGAGATGGACAAGGCGATGGACGCCCGCGCCTTGACGAGCCCCTCGCTGTCAGTGGAACACCGCCTGTTGTCCCTCTCCGATGTGGCTGTGGTGGGGCTGAGGGGATGCTCCTGCTCATAGGATGAGCTCTGGCCGGGCATGAAGTAGGACTCCACATTCGGCTCGTCCAGCGAGTCGTGGTGGAAGCTCACGCGGTGCCTCTCGAGCATCGCAGCGGCGTGGGCCTTGCGCGCAGAGGCCGCGCCGTGGCTCTTTGAGCGGCCAGGGGGTGAGGTGGTGGTGAGGTTGCTCTTGGAGGCCTTCTTGAGGGAGGACTTGGAGGGCGCGGCGGTGAGGGGGATGGGGGTGGCCGCCTCGGGCTTGATGGCCAGCGGCTGCACCTTGTCCTTCCCACCCTTGGAGATGCAGGTGCCCATCCTCTTCTTGCCTACAGTAGAAATGACTAAAAACTCCACACCGGACCAAAGGGCTGGGTGCTGCGCTACAGCAGGTGGTAAGGAGAGAAAAAGCTACGGGGGCTGCGGAAAGAGAGAAAAGGCTACAGAGATTGCAACGGCAGGGGCGGCCGAGACGCTTCTCCTGGCCCCCAGTCTTTGCGCGAAAAAAAGAAATGGCAGAGGAAGGCGTCGCCGATGCCGAGCAAGAAGAGCCCACCACCCTCTCAACAGGGCTACAGCTGTTGCTCACGAAGGAGGACATCTCCGCCCTTTGGTCATGCAAAGACGTGTACGAGCAGAAGGAGCAGCTGACGGAGATGCTGGGGCTGACGGCGGCAGACGTGGCCAAGGACTCGAGGGCCCCTGTGATGGTGGACTTTCATCACTTCCACATTGGGTATGTCCATGCTTGCACTGCAGTGAGATCTTTCTCTGCCTGACAATGCTCTTGTGTGTGTAGGTATTGCGAGGAGCTGTGTCTAAGCGCCGAGAAGGCTGCTGTCTTTGTCGCTGTCATGAAGAAGGTCCTCGATGCCATGCAGAACCCATCGCAGGCGCGTTACCAGAGAGACCACACGCAGCCTGGATGGCATGAACGCCCTCTCGTCGCGCAGACGAGTGAGTACCGTGGGGGGCGGCTCACGGTGGATGAGGCCTTCAAGGTCTTCCAGGAGAGCATGCTGCATCACTCACTCGAGGCCCCGCCCAACTCTCTCGGCGTCTTTTCTGTCCCTGAGGCGAAGCTGCTGACCAAATTCGCCACCGACACGTACGTCAGGAAAGGATGAAGGAGACACAGACAGACAGACCGACCGACAGACAGACCGACAGACAGACAGGTGCAGGTGTCTGTCTGCTGTGTGCAGGTATTTCAAGCATTACAAGTTGTATCAGTACTGCCTTGTGTATCCTCGAGAGCTGGAGGTGGTCGAGATGGAACTCGAAGTGGAAAAGGTGACTGACCTAACCTGACACACAGTAGACAGCGTCAGAGACACACACACACACACATGCTTCCGTTGCGTGAGTCCTCATGTGTGTTGTCAGCCGTTCCCCCCACCCCCTCTGGCTGATGCGGTCGAGGTGACACCCCCACAGCAGCCGACCACACAAGCCGCCACTCAGGAGGTGAACTACAAGAAAATCGACAAATCATCTTTGCGACGTGCCGAGTGTCTCATTGTCTTGTGTCCCAGGAGCAGCCATCTGCTGCCGCTGCTGCCGAGGGTGCCCCTGAGGAGCCATCTGAAGAGACACAGCACAAAGACGAGACCATCCCTGGTGAGCGAAGTGTTTGCAGGTGTCTCGTGTGTATGTCTGTGTCTGCTGCAGAGCCCGAGCTGCCGAGCGACCCCATGTTGGCCGAGATCGTCAGGAGAAAAGTGGGAGAGATGGGCGTCCGTGCGTGTGTTCATGATGCATGGAGAGGGGCCGTGTGTGTGTGGGTTGGTTCCATGCAGGTGGCAGAGATGTCGGCTCAGCTAGAGGAGAAGCTGCAGACGAGGCAGCAGCAAATGGACGCCAGAATTGCGGTCAGTCGGTCATAGTGCCAACACATCGGGTGCCTGTGTGTGTGTGTGTGTGACTGTCTCTCTGTGGCTGCGGTGCAGGAACTCGAGAAAACAAAGAAGTGAAACCGACCGACCATGGAGTCCCACAAACGGATCGGATCCATGCATGGAATGCACTGCACCAAGGAGGGAACGTGTGAATCACTCGTGTGAATCGCACCGCAGCGCGCTGAGGCCGCCCACATTGAAAAACACAGACAACCAAACAAACAGACAGACAGACAGGAACATATCAATCGGTATGCTGGATACTAACCACTACTGATAATACACAACCACCCCACAAACGACTGTACACAAGACAGCCACCGGTGACCCACACACTCACTTGCCACGCCCCGCTCCCCCGCCACCGAACATGAGGGAGCCCATGAAGCCGGCCCTGGGAGCCTGCGTCTGCTCCTCGGCTACATCCACAGCAACAGCCTCTTCACTACGATCGCCAGCAGCACGGGGCACTCTGCACACCACACACCACACACACACACCAAGCACAGCACACAGAAATACGTGTCTGTCGATGCATTGAATATATTGTGGCTGGCGAGAAAGATCAGATCACCTGTCTATCTGATGGTGGTAAGGTATGAGTGGGCTGGCTGGCTACCTCGGTGCGGCCGAGGAGGCGTTGGCGGCCGCAGCAGCCTTGTTCATGATGCCCTTCATGCCCTCCGCGTCGAACGCTTTCCCACGCTTGTTGGTCAACACCAAACTCGTCCCCTGGGTGGGGTGGGGGGTGTTGGCACACAAGGGGGGACACACAGATGGGATGGATCGATTTGCGTGTGTCGGTGTGTCTGTTCTGTTCTGTGGTGACTTGGCTTACGCCGCCGTGTCCGAGGTCTTTGATGGTGTCGAAGTACTGCGTCACGAGCATCAGATCCAACACCTCCTGCACGCACACACACGTGAGGCACACGTCGAGACGACATATGGATCTCTGTGCTTGTGCGCGTGCCGGCCGTGTGTGCGCATTGGATTGGCCAGCCGACTGACTGACCTTTGCGCTCATATCTTGGATGGAGTCTTTGAAGTCCTCCACCGAGCTCTTGAGGCCGTCAACTATCGCCTTGCGCTGACGAGCGATGCCCTCACCCTACACACACACACACACACACACGTAGGCAGACAGCCATGCGTCATTTGTCGCGTGTTGTGCGTCCTAGTTACCTGCAGGTAGGTGCTCTCAGCGTTGGCCTCAGCGTGTTTGACCGTCATGTACTTCTGCGCCTCTGCCCGCTCCTGGGCCGCCTGACGCAGACGCTTGTTGGCGTTGATCTGACACACACACGACAGACACACACACGACGGACGGGGGTATGAATTCATGACAGCGGATGAATGGGTGCCTGTGTCGTGTACCGACCTCGTTCATGGACTGCCTGACGGTTTCGTCGGGCTCGACATTGGTGACCAACGCAGCCACGATCTTGTAACCGTACGTCTCCATCTCCTAAACACACACACCCGTCCGGCATGGGAGAGAGTGCCCTCTTTTCTCCCTCCCTCCCTCCCTCCCTCCTTGGCCTCTTTCCCCTGTCTGTCTGTCTGACCGATGCGAGTGACTTTTCGACGTGCTGTGCCACCTGCCCCTTGGCCTCGAAGAGCTCGTCCAGCTCCAGCGAGTGGGGCACCATCGAACGAACTGCATCGTCCACATAAGACATGATCCTAAACACACAACACACACACTCATGCGACGGGTGTGTGCATGTTTGCCTTTGTTGGCAGATGCTCACTGTCCGCTGGGACTCGTCAGCTTGTAATACGCTGCAGCAGCACAGACAGGACAGTCAGCTAGGGGATAGATCTACCATACCCCCCATCACGCCACGCCGCTGATGGTGCCTGCCTTACTGACCTTCATAGAGGTATTTGGGGTCCTGAATGGCCATGTACTGGACGTTGACGGTGATGCGCACCGACACCTTGTCCTTGGTGTAGGTCGTCACCACCACCGGCACCTCCTGCACTCGCAGCGACACCATACCTGCCACGCGACTGACGTCACCGAGATGCAAACACGACACACAAACCGCAACAACCACAATGACGATGAGTGGTACATCATTGCTGCTGCTGGTGGCCCACCATATGCAGGGGACAGGGAGGCAGAGGCACCCCGGCTCGGCCACTTTGTCGAACTTGCCGAACCGTTCGGTGATGGCCGCTTGGTCCTGAGGCACCGACGCTATGCACCCCATGGTGCGATGAAAATGCAACACGGGAGAGACCCTCGGCTCAAAAGGCGAGCTTGAGGCGGAGAGGCAGATCTGCCACGCTTTTTTCGAAAAGGGACCGTTATTGAGCTGTTTCCTCCTGCTCGCACCTATCATGGGCGGCACTTCATCATCGCCTGCTGCCGATGCTGCTGGATCTCTCCCGCCCACCCTCGCCGCAGAGCGTGCCCGCTACGGCAACAAACGCTTCACCATTCTCAACTACGGCCTTCGAGTCATCCTGGAAGGGCCTGAAGAGGCCAAGATGACTGTCCTTTTCCTGCACGGCATGGGCGGCCGGGCAGCCCAGTTCAAGCACCAGGTAGACTTCCTGGCTGAGAGGGGCCTGCGAGTAGTGGCGCCAGACCTCCCGGGCGCTGGGGAGAGCGACAAACCGACCGATTCTTTCGACCACTACTCCGCCGAGAGGCTGGCGGGTGTCTGCCTGGCTGTCTACCAGCTGTTCTGCAAGGGCGCGACGGTCATCGTTGGCCACTCGTACGGCTGCCAGCACGCTCTCAGGGTGATGCAAACGCTCCACCAAGAGGGGAAGGGCAAGGGCAGCCGTATGGCCGTCAACGGGCTTGTGTTGATCGGCGCGTCGCGTCACGCTTCTCAGCCGCCGGCCATCATGCTGAATCTGCCGGTGGCGGTGCTGGAGCTGGTCCGGCCGATGTTTCGCGACGCGAGCAACAGGAGTCTGTTCCATCCTGACACGGAGAGGGTGGTTATAGCGTCTGAGAACGAGGTGACGTCGCTGAACCCCATGTTTGTGATCAAGGGGATGGTCAAGGGCTGGGTGGGGCCGTCGATGCAGCAGGGAATCGATCAAGGTCAGGAAGCAACCATACAGACCCGTGTGCAACGTTTCTGTGAATGCCCCCGTGGATCTGGATGGCTCTCTCTCTCTCTCTCTCTGTGTGTGTGTGTGCGTGTGGGCGTGTGCAGGCATCGAGTCGTATCGTGGGTTGGAAGTGCAGCCGTCAGTGTTGCTGCTGACCGGCGAAACAGACCCCATCACGCCCGTCAGTGGGGCAGAGCAGCTCAATAAAGACCTGGGCGGCTCAGCCACACACAAGGTCGGTGACCAGACAGACAGACAGACAGACAGAAGCGCATGGACATGGACATGTCTGTCTGTGTGTGTGCAGGTTGTTGAGGGCACGAGCCACAACTGCATGTTGGAGAGGCCCGCAGAGGTGAATCGGCTGCTGTGGGAGTTCATTGAGCCGCTGCTGCTGACAGACAAGGCCAGGGGCTCGTGACGTGTCTGGGAGGTGTCGCCTTTTTGTAGTGGGGACCCACCGTGTCTGCGTGAAGCGTGATCCTACCTTTGTTCCTCACCTCTCTCTTCGCTGCCGTGTCGTACTGCTCCCTTTTCTCTGTAGGCGCGTATGGCGAGTGTCGGGCAGAAATGAGTGCTTGGTGTTCGCCGTGCGGGCGGGCCGGCAGAAGGGATCGGCACGCGACAGAGAGGATGTTGCTTCAGTACAGCCAGGAGATTGTGTTTCTTTCCGTTTCCTAACTAGCTGGCTGGTGGGCAGGTGCAGGGCTAGAATGTGCTGTGCATACAATCCAATCAAGTGTGCATGATGTGGTGTGTAAGGATGAGGAAGGCGAGCCTTGCTGTCTCCCTTCAACTCATCGCATGCACGGGTCGACGCTGAGCGCAGAAGGAGCAGACACACTTCATTCAGGTCGAGATGGACTAAAAATTTCACTGTGACCAAGACGCATACATGAGCGAAGCAGCTGGCATTCATTCTGTCACCCAGTGCGAGTCAGCCAAGATCCACCTCTTGTCTTGCCTCGCCCTCTACTCATTCGACCTCTCTGTCTTTGTCTCTGTCTCTGTCTCTGGTCGACGTAAGGGTCCGAGGCATTGGGGAAAGGGAGATACGACGGCAGGGGAGCCATCGAAAGAGACAGACCGACGGACAGAACAACACGTGGCAATCAACAAGTACTAATCGAGACCACCCAGAAGAGCACCGCCCCCCTTCTCCCAATTACACACACACACACACACACACACTGTACACACACTGCGTCACATAGAGACGACATATCCCTGCCCCGCTCGCCCACCCAGTCTGGCTGCTACCGAAAACCACGAAGAGCTCCGAAATTGCCTGACTGTGTAATGTGCCTTCAAGGGTTCTACGTGCCGACAGCTCATTCGTGAGTCAGCACGTCATCCGGATCCAACTCATCCGCAGGTATCTTTGCAAACATGTTGATACTGGCTGGCTGGGATGCCATCGCTACTTTGGCAAAATGACCCGGCTGTGCCTTGCTCCCCTGGTCAAATGACCCGGCTGTGCCTTGCTCCCCTGGTCAAAACCCTTGAGGTGGCGTATGTGTGGGCAGTGGTCATCCCATATGTCAGGAGCGTCCACCGTCCACTCACACACAACACCATGCCCACGCTAACCCGCTACCGGTGCTCTACAGGCAGAAGCGACATCAGCCCGCAGGGAACACACGTACTCTGCAGTGTCTTCAGCCCGCCCAAAAACGAGCGCATCTTGCTACAGGACACCGGCAGGTCAGCGAGCGACGACCACTCACAGTGGCCACGAGGGATCCGCAGGTGCTGCACAGCCGGCAACCGTCGGCTCGTTTCGTCGATGAGGCACGTGGGGATGCTGCCCACAGCTGCCGAGACACTCGCGCCCTCCTCGACAGAGATACGGAGCCACTTGGCGTTGGGGAAGCTGAGCACGCCACTCCACGATGAGTGCAAAGGCGTCCCACCGAGCCGCAAGTCGACCTGAGCACACACCGTGCCGAGCACACACATGGATCCCCGCATTTATCTGTCCTTTCTTGCCTTACCCCAGTGGCCTTGGGCGCCAGCTCTGATGCGACATCTCCCATGACGCCGCCGGGCGCACGAGGGGCTTCTGCGGCGTCGCTGCTGCAGTCGACGTAGAAGTCGCCCACGGGCCGCCACTTGAGCTCGCAGTTGACTCCCGCCGCCCAGCTACGGAAGGCCTGCACGTTGGCCGCAGCCCCCTGCCCCAAGTTGTCGCCGGCCGTCGAAGGACTCACCACAAACTCCAGCCTCTTGCGCACGCATGAGTCGCCGATAGGTACAAACCAATTGATCGACGCAAACCACACGCATGTCTTCGGTGCCTCACCATTGTTTTGCGTGTTGGTCCAGTGTGCGTCGAGTACATTTCTGAGCTCTTGAGGCGGTCACTCTCCCCACTCCATAGCCACATGCCGGTGATGGTGGTGAGGTAGGGGCAGCTCTGGAGGGCACTGAGGAACCCCGGCCACTCGGACTCCGTGTCGTCGTGGGCCGGGACAAGCTCGCCGGTGTCCTTGGACAAGCTGATGCAGCCGCCCTTGCTGGGATGCCTGGCCTTGGTCTCCAGCTGCTCGATCTTGGGGGATGCGTTGAGGAGGGGCACAAGCGTGCTCGCACTGCAACCATGGATCTGGAGACTCGTGAGGGCCGGAAGGGCCCACCGACGGACACTGCAGACAGACAAACGTGTGAGCGCCAGACAGACAGACACTACATGCATCTTGTGTTGCATGCACATACCCTATGTATTCGAGCCACTCGGTGGACTGGACGTCCATGCGGGTCAGCTTGGGGAACTCGACCTGAGAGTTGGAGGCCTCGATATGGCCCTGACTGAGGAGCAGCATATCGTACTCGCCGCCACAGACGGTCAGCTCCTCGAGTGTCGCTCTTGACGCCTCGAGGAGCTCCACCAGACAGGAGCTGTCATCTGTGCCCACAAACGCCGTACGGATTTTGCCCTACACACACACACACACACACACACACACACACATACACATACACACACACCGATAGAGCATGCCATCCATGTGGCAGAACTCACCTTAGCTCTCTCACTCACCATGTGCTTCATCTCCTCCACTTTCTTGATCTTGCCGTAGATGTCCTCCTCTTTTTTCGTCATGGCGAAGTGGCGGAAGACGCCGAAAGTGTCGTCGATGGCCTTCTCGCGGGTCTCCTTGCTGACCTTCGACAGCCGGACGGCCGTCAAAGTGGTAAGGAAGGTGCCCACATGCCCGATGACGCCCTCAGGCAGACCGGACAGACACGGTCGGCCGTACTTCTAACACACGCACAGACACACGAGGGAAAGATGCGCGATAGAGGTGGTGGTCGGTTCTTGTGTCACCTTTTGCTTAGTAGTGTGCTCCTGTGCCGCTGCTCCAGCACCGAATGCACCACTCGACACACCACCTGAAGGCACACACAACACAGCATCACATACATCTATTCGTCATTGTGTTGGTGATGTTTTGTGTGCGCACGTACCGGCACTAGCAGCGGTAGCAGCCGGGTCGATAGCTACACGTGACCGCTTCCCATCACCAGTCGACACCTGAACACAAAGCAACGGCAGACAGGAAAGCTTCTTACTGAGCCTCCCTCTCACTCTCATCTCACCGTCGTGTTCAGTCCCTCGCTCAAACGGTTCGCTGAAGACATGCCGCCGCCGCCGCCGCCACCGCCTGCACGTAACACAGAGATGCAGAGAGGCATTTCATTCTCTCCAGCACATTCATTCATTTATTCACTCGTTCACCTGCGGCAGCCGCCGATGAGTTGCTTCCGTCCATGGACTCGTCGCCAAGAGCTACAGATGCGCTGACACCGATGAAGCGGTGTAGCTGCTGCTGTGATGCAGCGTCGGGCTATCCATCCATATCTGCTGCCGCGAACCACGCCCTCACGATGAGCCGGAGGCGACGAAGATCAAGCAACAAACATGCGATCTCCGAACCATCCAGAGCGGTCAGGGTGATCCTTAAGGCATCTCCGGAACCATCCCAACCATCTCGAACGGCGCGAGCTTGTAAGTGTAGCTCGCCTTGCGCAGATCTGATTCCCAAGATGAACGACCGCCTCAATGATCTTCGCCAGATGGCGAAACGGCAGCAGCAGCAGACCACCTCCTCAAGCGCATCTCTCCCGTCCAGCGCGTCATCGAGCATGCGGGACCTCTTCACCTCGCCGACGTCTGACGGCCTGGCGGGTGGCGCTGTGGGGTCGACGGACGACTTCTTCAAGCAGGTGACCACCATCAAGAGCGAGCTGGGGCAGTTCCACAGCATCAGCGACAGGGTCAGGGCGCTCAAGGGGCACGCACTGGCCGCCAACAGCTCTGCCAAGGAGAGGGGTGAGATCACAGGCAGGATGGGCAAGCGAGACAGCTCATGTGTGTCTTGTCTTGGTGGTGGTGGTTTGTGTCGCAGCGGTGAGCCAGCAGCTGAACAGTCTGTTGAGCGAGGCGAGTCAGCAGTCTGTGTCTATCCGCCGGCTGCTGGAGGCCATGCGGCTGGAGAACGAGGCGGTGCGCGAGGCGCAGCCGCACTCGTCGGAGACACGGATCCGCATCAACCTCTACCAGAACCTCACTCGCAAGTTCAGGTCACACCTGGCAGACCACCAGCAGGCGCAGTCCGAGTACCAACGCGACGTGCGCGCCAAGGTCATACGCCAAGTCAGGCTCGGTAAGTGATAAAGACAGACAGCGACTGACTCGGTGGAATGGGGGCCATGGGTGTCCGTGTGTGTGTGTGTGGTGGTTCAGCGTATCCTGAGGCGACAGATCGCGAGATAGAGGCCCTGATGGAGGCGGACGGCGGCGTGCAGAGCGCATCGGCGGCCATCAGGGGGAGGATATCGGGGGTGAGCAATGACACCGGCCGACCACACATGAGCTAACGTCGCATGTGTGGCTCATGGTGGGTGTGTTTGACTGACAGGGTCATGAGACTGCCCAGGCGGCGATAGACGAGCTGCAGGACCTGCAGGACACCTACAACGACCTACAGAAGCTGCAAAGAAGTAGGGCCACCCACACACACACACATACAAACAGAGCTTACCACCCCCATGTGTCCGTGTGTGTCCGTCTGTCTGTCAGGTGTGGGTGACATCCAGCGCCTGTACACCGACCTGGCGGCGTATGTGGAGACGCAGGGCGACCTCATCGACCAGATCGAGCACAACGTGTCCAGCGCTAAGGACTACACTGGTGAGAGCCAGGGCGGCATGGGGGTGTGTGGCAGGCGGTCAGTCTCTCCCTCGTGTGTGTGGGTGAATGTGTTTCAGATGATGCGACGCAGGAGCTCATCACAGCGAGGAAGTTTCAGAACGCCGTCACCAAGGTAACCAACCATCCACACGACGAGTGACCTCACCCACTTCATCCATTCTTGTGTGTTTGTGTGTGTGTGTGTGTGATCAGCGTTTCGTGTGCATGATCATCCTCTTTCTGATCCTTGGCCTCATTCTCTTCGCCCCCCTCTTCCTCAGATAGACGTTATGAGCAAGGGGGCGCGATCGGCCTTCATTATCTTGGTGCGGGTGTGTGTTCGAATGTCGTTGGGGGCTGCGTGCTTTTCACTTGGCCCTCATACTGGACTGCTCGAAGCTGACACATATGGCTTCTGGCGGTCCGGTGCGAGTCATGGGTGAAAGGCGCAGCCCACTCGACAGAGAGAACATGGTGGAGGGAAAACATGTGTGCCTAAGTGAGGTGTCGTTGTGGTTGTTGGCGGCGCCTGTGAGTGTTTGCGTGTAAGTGTTGCTGGCTGGTGGCTGGGGGGGTCATGGGCCTTGGTCTCGTTACTGATTTCCTGCTGGTGATCTCACACTGGCAGGACAGAAGTGCGAGGGCGAGGGCCGATGAACCTCACTCGCACCGCACCCGAGCCGCACACAGACAGACCGACAGCAAGACAGACAGACAGTCAGACAGCAGTTGATCTGCGTGTACATAACATACCCCCCTGCATGAGCCGTGCCGAGTTTTGCAAATGAAGTTGCGTTCCTTGCCTCACTGACACTGACTGGCCAACCCGACCCTTTTCTTTCTCTCTCTCTCTCTCTCTCTGTGTGTGTGTGGGTGGGTGTGTGCGCGTGGGTGTGTTGCACCATTTTTCACTCATGGACGGCCTGGTTAAGTGCTAGATAGCGCTTGTGTGAGAATTTCTGATGCATGGTGATGCACTCACGAACCCGAAGTGGATCGATCAATGTGTTATCGTTCATTCCGCCGATCGTCCATCCATCCATCCACCCAGACACGTCACGCAGGCACCCATTATCGTCCTTCAGCTGTTCACATGTAGGCGCAGACCACCCAGCCACCCACCCACCCCCCACACCACAACCACGCCTGCCCTCTCTGAGTGAGTCGGCAAGCAGGCTCTTTCGCAGACAGGTATGCATGGTCGCCACCTGGTCTTTCCGTTCTTCCTAACGAACGAAACAAATTGTGTACACACACACACGCATATCAGCCATCCCATCCATCCGTCCATATGACTGTCGATGTCTCCTCCATCCGCCGCCGACCTCCAGGTTCTCCAACCAACTCTACACTCCTCAGATACTCCAAAACTCCTCTCAACGCTGCACACACCAGACACGGACACACACGCAGCAATGCACCGCTGCATACTTGTATCCGTTCGCCTGTCTGTGTGGTGTGAGAGCCTGCTGCACTGACCCGTCGTGAAGGCGTTGGTGGTATGAATGGGTCGTTGGCCTTCTGTGCCGCGGCCTCAAGTGCGAGCTGCGCCCTCGTCCGCGGCCGGTTGACACCCCGCCGGTTGGTGGGGGGGCGGGGGGGACGACGGCCCACACCGACACCCACACCCACACCCACAGCCGCCTGCTGCTGTCGGGGAGGCGTCGTCTCACCAACCGCCACACGAGGCACGCCGAGCACAGCGCCAGGAGCAGCATCACCGCTGCCGACAGCACCCCCTCCGGCAGGAGCACCGCCGGGTGGCTGCTGCGCCAGGCTGCCGATGGACGGCACCGCACCAACGCCAGATACGTTATCCATCACCATACCCCCCTGCCCCCCCTGGCTGGCGCCATTGTCCGTGTCCATGGCATACGCCCCGTTGCCCACGTCCATCCCGCTCCCGCTGCCGCTGCCAGGCTGCAGGAGGCGCGATGCGCCCGACGGCTTGCCGCGCTTGTTGGAGAGGATGACCATGCGCTTCATGTCACGGACGATCTCCATGCTGTGCGGCGACTTGGACAGCCGGCGGGCAGGGGGCGGGCTGCCAGGCAACATGGGCGCTACCGGTGCAAACGGACCACGACGCTCTACAGCACCACCACCCTGCACCATATCTCCACCGTATATCCATCCTTCTCTCCCTCTCTCCCGCCCTCCCTCCCTGACCCACCTCACGGCGGCGGATGGCCTTCTTGGGCTGGTATGCGGGGAACGCGGGGTCGTGGCCTCGCTCCGTCACATCAACCACACCATCACCCACGGCGGCAGCGGGTCCCTCCGGCGCCATCTGGGCTATGCGGGCCATGAAGCTGCGGGGGGGACTGCACTCCACCTCCCCCTGCCGCTCGTAGGGATGACTCATCAACTCCTGCAATGCAATGCATGACACACATGTCCAGACAGACACGACAGAGAGCCCATGTGACACAATTAACACACCATGGCTTACATCGTGGGTTCGTTTGTTCCTAGCGGGCACCGCGCGCTGCGGTGACTGCGCCACAGCCGCTGCAGCAGCCGCAGCAGCCGCGGCCGCCATGGCGCCACCCATCCCACCCTCTCCACCACCACGCTGCACATGAAGGCCTGCCGCCGCTGCTGCAGGGCCGCCGGAGAAGCTCAACCGCCGGAAGGGATCGGACCGCACTGGAGGGGGGGTGGCGGACAGATGCAGTGCACGCGCCGTGCGGTTCCTGGATTTCTTGGGTGCGGGGGGCGGGTCATACATGCGATTGGGATCTCGCCGGTTGGTGGGTGGCGTGGTCGGCTCGGCCCTCCGAATGTTGGGCTCGGGCGACTGCATGGCTATCCGCTTCGGCTATCTCGTGGCTATGCGGCGTTGCCCCAAAGGGCGTGCGTAAACTTCGGATCTTTGTAGGGTTTAAGACCCTAACCCTATAACCCTAAACCCCAGGGAAATCATTGAATCAGAAATCGAATCGTTCGGCCCGTACAGGACATATCCACTGCATTGTTCACTTGAGCGTGTCAGTGGGCGCTAGATGGAGCTCGAGTCCCGGACCGACGCCGTGGCACTGCTCGGACGAGTGCTCGGCTTCAGGGACAGATACGAAAATGTTGTGCAGAAACTCAACCAGCTGCATCAGCAGGTAGGTGAGGGTGAGAACAACGGGCTGCATGCTCTTGATCAATGATTGTCCTCTCTCGAAAAAGCGCTCTCTGCGGTATATGGGATGCAGGCGGCTGAGGTCTTGACGCTCAAGGAGAGCAAGGAGCGGACGCTGGGCAAGGAGATGTGCCCCAATGTAGCCAAGGTGAGCATCGAGAGGACACACGGCAGTGCGTTTGGCCATTCTGACCATTGCGTACTTGTCGCTGGCTGTGTGTGTGCAGATGGTGTGTCTGGATTTCGAGAGGTTCAAGACGCTGCTGTCCAAGATGGACCCTGCGCGAGGTGTCACGCCCGATACACAAGCCATCCTCATCGGCTTCGCACAGCAGAAACTCACCGCCATGAAGCACAACCTGCTGCAAGACGTAAGCCGGGGCGCGCACCGATGACCACAAAAAGAGGAGGCAATGTGCGACTTGGTATGTTGTGTGTGTGTTGTGTTGTGGTGTTGTTCTGTTCAGTCGGTGCCCCCCTTGCTGCTCACCATGCCCGAGGGGCTGCTGTATGACAGCCTCGGTCCGTTGGTTGGCACTGAGGCCCTCATCGGCGGCCTCGCGCGCGCGCACTCCTCCTTCCTCGGCCCATCGCATGACCCCCACATGCACACCACTATCACATTCACGGCCGACCGGGCCATCAACCTCACCGAGGGGCAGCTGCAGGCGTGGCGCCCTTGGGTGGCCAAGACCAAGCGTGCAGTGGTGCGATGCCAGATGACCGATGGGATGGCGAAGCTCATAGAGGGGACGAGAAATCGCCTGGAGAGTCTGGTGGCTGACACGACCTCGACGGTGCGGCACAGGGTAGCGCCAGTAAACGAGGGTGAGAGCGGGGCAGCCTTCCCACGGCTGAAGACGGTCGTGGTGGGGGGGAGTTGGGCGTCGGTCTCATGGCGGCGCAAATGGAGACTCAGGTGAGTGGCACACACCACATATCCAAAGGAGCCGACACGCAGCAATCGCTTCCCTGCCTGTTGCGTGATCCGCAGGTCGCTGGCGGCGGTTGAGTTGCGCAAGCGTAGCATGCAGGAGGAGACCGCCGACGACAACGAACCTGGAGATCATGATGAGGATGAGACCTACGGCCGCGCCTGGCTGGAGTGGTGCGACAGCCCCCCCAACGTCATCCTGTCTCCCCCCTTCGCGTGGGATGCGTGTGAGGCGATGGATCTTGTCATGCCCAGTCCCGTGAAGAAGGTGACGAGCTTCAAGATCACAACGAATCTGCCCGATTCGGACCCATGGATGGACCTCGACAACTTTACGTGGCTGAGGTCGGTGGGGGCCATCGAGGCGGCCATCAACGTCAAACAGATCACTCCACCCATCATCCACGTGCGTGGGCCACACGCATTGGGAGGAAGGGGTGGCAATGTATGTGCAGCGAGTGCAGTCGCCTTGTGTGTCTGCTGCTTTGCTTTGCTTTGCTTTGCTTGCTGTGTGGGTCGCAGTCCCTGAGTGTGGTCCACAGGTGCTGCGTGCATCCTGACGGCGAGGAGGACTACAGCAGCAGCTCGTTCGACTTCCCCTTCACCCTCCTCATGCAGCCCAACAGGTCCATGCGCCTCATCTACGACATGGAGGCCTACTCACTTGCCTCCTCCACCCTCACCTTGGTGGCCTCCCTCGCCACATCAGTGACTTTTCCCACCAGCCTCTCCCAAGACGCCATCCTCCAGGCCTTCTACTCCATGCTGCCCAAGCTGGTCTTCAGCTCGGCCCGCACACTCACCCTGCAGCCAGCGAGGGACACCGACAGCCCCCTGCCGCAGCCCCTGCTGTTCAACCTCGGCCGCGTCTTCCCCAAGGTGCGCTGCATCGACCTCGGCAAGGCGGAGCAGCTTGGCGAGGAGGCCGTCACCACGGCCATTGACCACCTGCCATCGCTGCAACTTATATATATATATATATCTGCGCAACTGCTCGAGTGACGGGCCCCTGCTGCACATTAAGGGTGCGTTCCACTCGTGCTTCGAGGGCAGGGAGGATTGGTCCCTTTGGGAGGGGGATGACGATCAGCTCTGGGCCGAGCTGCCCAATTGGGCAGAGTCAGATCATAGCGAGGCTGTGGCGTCGGCGGGCAAGGCAGGTGGGGGCGAGAAAGGCGATAGTGGCATCGAGCACCGTATCCGCTGCATCAGCGTGTACTTCTCGGCACTCTCGTGGCTAGAGGAGCCGGACGAGGTGCCGGACTTCACCTATTTGTGGGGCGCGTGCCTCAAGGCCATCGCCACTCTGCCGAATCTAGAGCGCATCGCACTCAGAACAGACATTGAGTTCCCACTCGGTGCGCTACACGGGTGTGGGAGTGCGTGCGTGTGCGGGTGTGTGTGTGAGAGGCGGCTGAGCCGTTTGGGGTTCGCCGTCGTGCAGACAGGCCCCTGGAGTGTCGAATTCTGTAGGGAGGGGCTGCCGGTCCCGGACGGGCAGCTGCTCATCACTGACTACTTCCCATCTAGCAACGAGATGCGTGACTAGATGGGCCTGCTGGCTGGTGGGATGGCGTGTGTGTGGGAGGTGTGGAGACATGGAAGGTTAATGGCTTGTGATCGTTGTCTGTGTGTTTCGAATGAGTCCGTCGTCGTTTGAGGGTCCCGATGTTGCTCTGTCTGTGCACAAGCTTCATGCACTCGCCCCACATGCACATCACACACACACACACACACACAAACGGCGTTCACTGCACACACACGCACGCGTAAAAAGGAAACGTCGGTCCGCACCTCGCCCTGTACCAATTTCTGGATCGAGCGTGAACATCTGTCGGCCCATCCATCCCATTCATCCGGCCACAGATGTACACGTGACGTTTGCCCACCCAACACAAGCAACCGTAAGGCAGCTGCACTCCTCTCTTCTGTCCGCTCGAGCTCTTTCACGCGAGACACTCATGCGGTTCACACCCGTTCATGCGGCTTCATTGCACAGCGGGGCCGAACACCTGCTGGCCCATCTGGTAGAAGGGCCAACATGGATGCAGCCTGGCCATGCAACGGCACCCACGCGAACCGGACATGGCACAACCAGCCAAACCAATGACATGACGCTACAGACAGACAGGCAGCCAAGGCACACAGGCATGGCAGGCATGCAGAAAGGCAGGACGAACGACACGCGTACAAGACACCTGGTGGGTGGACCGGCTGACATTCTGTCTGTTCGTGCGCACATGTGTGGAGCCCTCTCTGCTGTGCCGGGTGCGACTGTCGACGCGGCGTCCAAATGCTCTCTGTCACGTGTGTGCGCGACCGAGTCCATTCGTCTGCCGCCTCCACCGTCACACCATGCACACAGACACTGCAGGAGCTGCTGGACCACATGCAATGTGTGCGCCGCATCCATCCATCCATCCATCCAGATCTGCCATAGACACACATGCATCGCATCTGTACAGAGAGAGGAACGGACAGCGATGGATAGGTATGTGGAAGAACGGACAGCGATGGAAAAAGGCAGGTCTGTGAGTATGCACAGAGGCAGGGAGGGAGGGAGGCAGCGATGGATAAACCAAGGCACGAAAAGCGATAAAAAAGGAACCAGCAGGTGGGCAGCTATGCACATGTAGGCACCATACAGAGAACGATTGATTCACACATGCAATCTATGTGGGTCGACCATGAGCTCATGTGGTGCCAGGGTAGATTTCCCGCAGGATGGCCGACACGCCCGTCTTGAAGGTGGCGTTGGCAACGCGCGAATAGCTATCATCTACACACACACACACACACACACCATGATTGCAATTGCAGCCGTCCACCCAACCATCGTCCAACCTTACCGGTGTTGGTGTGCGTCCGAGGGCGGGAGAACCACCCCCGGGGGCTGGTGGCCTCGTTGTTGGGTGCGACAGATGAGCACAGCCACTCGCGGAAGGCCCGCTCGACACGCGTGCTTCGAGACAACACCTTCTTCAACTCAGCTACCTGACCAAAAACGACACGCATCCACCTGTGTGTCACGTGTTGGTGTGGACGCCTGACCTGCTTGTCCGATGGCTCGGCGTGGGTGTGGAGCTCGCCAAACCACTGCATCATGCCCGTCAGCACCGTCTCGGGGGCGGCCTTGACCTGACACACACAGCACAATACAACACAACAGAAGGCATCAATAACATCCGCCGTTTCCCAACTCCCCTGGCAAGCGTGCGTGCTCTTGAGCTGACTCACCGCGCTAAGAAGCCCCGCCGGAGGGCGCCCCAGGACGACGGCCGTCACCGTCACCGCCTCCCCGCCATCGTCGTCGCCAGCCAAATCTATCACCTTCCGCCCCTCTCCCTTCCTACCACCACCACCAGCGGCCGCTGCCGCTGCTGCTGATGCTGATGCTGCCGCAGCCGGACCACTACCCCCTTCGAGCTTCTGACGCTTCGATGCCCCGTTGCCGCCCGGTGGGCTGCCCCTCTTGTTCTGGTCCTTCTGCATCTGGTCCCGCGCCCAGCCCTCGATGAACCTGAGGGCAGAGCGGTCAGGAACGAGGTCGTCCTTGCTCAGTCGCTTGTTGCTGGAGGGGCTGCGGTCGCTCTGTCCATCAAATTAGAAGGGAGAAAGAGGTGCGTTCGTTGGTCAGACAATGGTTGACCTCTCCTTACGTTGTCGAGGTGTTCGCAGATGGCTTCGTACTCGTATGTGGTCTGGGAGGTTGTGCTCAGTGCAGGCTGGCGGAGCACGCCCAACGTGATGGGGCAGGAAGGGATGAAATCTGCACACAGACAAAGCAAGACAACAAGACAGACACCAAGGCACGTCTGCTGCTGTGGGCGTTGGCTAGTGCAGCCGCGTATCTGGTACCTGGTATATCCTCCTCCCGCAGGCCATCGATGTACTTGCACACGTCATCAGGCAGCTCCGGAAATCTCACCGTCCCGCCTCCATCCCCACCATCACTACCATCACCGTCAGCCACAGCCGCTGCTGCGGCAGCAGCAGCCGGTGGTGCCACTGCTGGTGCTGCTGCTGCTGCTGCTGCGGACCCCGTCCCCCCCGCGCCCGTCCCAGCCCGATGGACGGTGACGAGCTCATCCATCCTAACGGCTCTGGCCGCCTGGGTGATGCGTGGGTATGCAGCAGGCGGTCGGGCCGCCACGGATGTGCCCACACCAGCACCAGCACCAGCACCCCCGGGCCGCTGTTGATGCTGGAGGGCCATGTGCTGCTGGAGGAACATCTGCTGCTGGAGGGCCATATGACTCTGTGCCTGCTGCATGGCCTTGGCCATCTGACTCTGTGCCGCCTGCTGCGCCTGCTGGTGCATCTGCTGCGCCTGCTGGTGCATCTGCTGCAGGGCCATCTGGTACTGTGTGTACATGGAGGGCAGTGCGGAGCTGCCGTCGGTGGCGGTGGGGGACAGGGACACGCCCAGCTGCATAGGCACCCGCGCGCGAGGGGCCTGCTGTTGCTCCTGTGGGACGGGGGGACGAATTGGGGCAGCTGCAGCAGCACCAGCAGCCGGAGCAGCAGCAGCAGCGGCCGCACTTTGCTGGCCTTGTGAGGCCGCGGGACGGGCTGCCATCACTTGAGCAGCAAGGTTGGCATACGGCCGAGCCGCCGGTGCAGGGGGTCGGGCTCCATTGTTGGATGAGGCGCCCTGAGCTCTCTGACCGGTCGGCCGAGTGCCCGAGGACGAGCCATGGCCAAAGAAGGGAAGCATCTGCACACACACGAGCAGAGAGAAGGGCTCGCTGTCAGAGATGCCCGCTGGACATCGCTACGGTACATCGCGTGACTATCGCGTGTGAGTGGTGCATCATCCCCTTACCGATGAGCTACTTTGCCGACGGGCAGCGCTATGACATTGACGCGTCGAATGCGATGCGGCCCCGCCCCAGCACTGCTGTGCGCCTTCAGCACTGAATCAGCAGCGAGAGGAAGGCGCTGGCGCCGGCGCACCGATCTCGTCTGTTCCCGCGACCTCAGTCACGAGTATACGGCCACGCACACAGATGGTTGGCGTATGCGGGAGAAAGGAGTCGCCGCTCGTCTGTAGGGTTAAATTGTGCAGGGTTCAGTGTGGAGGGTTTCCGGGCGCGAGATCGACGTTCCCCCTCCTACCCGCCTGACCTCGGTGAGGTGTGAGTCAATCATCTGCACGCTATTGTTGATGGGCATGTGCACGTGCTTTGCAGGTGGTCGTCTTGCAGACGGCATCTCGTGCGCGGCCAGGGTCTGGCTTCCGTCGCGCCAAGGTGATTGACAGATTGAGCAGAATCTTATGGCTGCACGTAAATCATTGCCTAGGCACACTGCCCCAGCGCTCCACAAGATTATCACACTTCAGTGTCCTCGCGATCGCATTCGTCAGGTCTGTCTGTCTGTCTGCATGACACTCACTCCCCTCGTTTGCTTTGGGTCACCCGACCACCCCATGCAGCCTCACTTCCTTGTGTGTGAGGGTACTCACTGGAAAAGCCCCGACCCCCAACGGGTGTGTATGCGTGTGTGTCTGTCGGCAGGCAATTGTCTGTGTGTGGGTGTGCGTGTGTGTTTCAGTGGAAGGGCTTCGTGATTTTCGCGCCCAGGCGCCTGAGCCACTCGCTCCAGCTCTCATGATGCAGCGCCTCGCCGCTCTCTCCATCCTCATCGTTCTGCAGCGGATCGGGCTTGTCCTGATCAGTTGATTAGTAAGACACACACACATACATATGCAGACGGGAATGCGTCCTGCATGCTTATGTGTCGTCCTTCTCCCCTTGCATGCTTGCCTGTTCCTCCCATTCGCCGACCAAGACCTCGCGCGTGGCGCTCTCCTTGGTGTTCAGAGCAGCGAGGAGCTTAGGCTTCCTGTCGTCATACACGAGGAAAAGGAGCCTTGGTCTGCCAAGCAGGCCTGGATGACCGTCTGTCTCTCTCTCTCTCTCTCTCTTTTTGTCTGTGTGTGTGTGTGTGTGTGTTTGTCTGCCTGTCTATCCAATTCGCTTGCCCTTTGTTCCATTTGTAGCGCTCCACACGCAGCGGGTAGTCGTCTGATGCGGCCATCTTCATGTCCACAATCGTCTGCTCGCAGGCAGGTACGGACGCACACACATGCAGTGCAGGGAGCCATCAACTCAACTCAACTCATGTCTCGCGAGTGGGTGGGATTCAGGGCCTGGCTAACCTTCTCGGCTGCGTCGGTCCAGCCGCCTTGATGCACGTACGTGCGAAGAGCACAGCTTGAATGGAGGCCTCGTGGTCACTCACGCACTCACCTGTATTTGCGTAGATGATCTTCCCCTCTCCGTTGTATTTGTCGAACTTGCGCAAGTAGTGGTCTACAAGTGAGGTGCAACAACAAGGCAGACAGACAGAAAAACAAGGAGACACACGTGTACACACACCGCGATACAGTGACAGGATCTCGGGAATATATGCTGAAGTAAGTACTGTGTGTGTGGCCCATGACCTACGGCAGACCAGACACACAACAGACAAAAACGTACATACACACCAAGTCAGTCGAGACACAGGCGGTCGTTTCGTTGTGGTTGTCGATCGTCTCACGGTGACAAGGGCGTAAGGCTCGCTGCATACTGAGCAAAAAGCGCCACGTGGTAAAGAAAGCTTGCGAGGACTGATTCTCTTTCACGTATGCATACCGAAGAACTCTTGGTTTGACGTAGAGCTGCGTCGAGAAAAAATCATGTAAGTGTGCGTGGATGCATCTCTTCCTGAGTGAGTGATTGCCGTAAGTAAGTACTTACCCGATGAGCAGCTCCTTGATGTAGTCCTCCGACAGCGAACCCTTCGTGTGGAAATCTCCCGGCAGCGTCGCGTATCTGTTGATGATGTCGTACATGTTTTCGTCGGGCATCAAGGGTGTGGACCCGCTCGTGCCATCCTGGTTCTTGACCTCGCGCTATGTCATTCATTCCACATGAGAGAGACATGCGAAGGATGAGATAGCTGTTCAGGATCACCCAAGTACTTACCTGGCCTTTGAAAATGATCTGCTTCAATTTGTCATCCGGTGTCTCCTTGTCAAATTTGCAGTCGCCCAGTATCACGCTCTTGCTGGAAGATGCGCGCACACACACACACACACACACAGACACACAGAGAGCGAGAGAGAGAGGGAGAGAGAGAGAGAGAATGGCGTAGTAGTAGTGGCGTGCCCTGTTTGTTGGTGGGCACTCACGCGAGGTTGTGGAAGCCATTCTCGATGCTGTATGTATGTGCGAATGCAGACAACGAAGTCCAAGTCCAAGGAAATGGTTCTGATTACAGTCATAGGCGTGTGTGCGTGCGTACATGCTGTGCATGTATTTGCCCGACAGAAATCGCCCAATCCACGAGCGCCGGAGCAGCCTGATACCCCCGCGGAACGTCTCGCTGTACACAGGGAATGATGAAGCGCCCGCAGCCTCCTTAAGCCAGGTATTGGTCGCCTCAGGCAGCAACCAGGCCCATTTGACTTTCTCTTTCTTTTATATGCATCGATCGTGGCACACATAAACACAAATAGACACACACACACACACACACACACACAGAGAGAGAGAGAGACGGAGACACACACAGATTGCGAGGATCTCATGCGACCATTTTGCAATTGCTTCGCGTTTACTCCTTGTTCTGCGGCATCCTTTGTGCTTTGCGGCTGATCGGCTTCGTTCCGGTGGTGCACCCATGCGTCAGCCTGGCACCTGGTGATGTATTCGCCGTATGTGGGACGCCCGTACGGGTCAGGACGATTGAACAAATCATTCAGATGGCCGTGCTCCATCTTGACGAGAGGATTGTCCTTCTGCAAAAAAGAAAAACAAGGAAACAGACACATACATACATACATACGATACATACGGGCTGTTATAGGTATATATGTCTCTGTGTCTTGCGGGCCTTCCTATGTCCCTTACAGACGGAAAGCCGATCTGATCTTCAAGGTAGTTGACATCTTCTCCTACACATACTCACACGCACACGCACACGCACACACAGACACAAATACGCAGAGTGCATGCAGCGAGAATCGGTGGGTTCCTTCCATGCATCATCCCCGTGCGTGCATGTACCGACGTACGTACCGAAGAGCTCCTCGACCAGCCCTCGGTCGAGCCGGTCGTCGTGGTTGCCTGAGGGAGGGAGGGGGGGAGGGAGGGAGGGAGGGAGGGAGGAAAGAAAGGCGCGGCGCATACTTTTCTTCTGTCTGTATGGGTGTATCTATGTATATGTTTCGCGTGTCTCCACCTCTCATGATCCACACAGTAGCGCCGCCCTCGGTGTGGATCCGCTTTATCTTCTGGATGATGTCTGTATTCATTCAATATGTACACACATGGACAAAGTTTGTGTGAAGAAAACGCCTGTCTGACCTACCAGGGAACGCAACTCCGTATTTCTCGTTCTCATCCGTAAGCTGCTGCTCCATTGTGGGACACTCCTCATCCAATGGGGTGAGCCAGCACTCGAACACATCGCCGAGGAAGACGACATGGGCAAGTTTCTTCTTTTTGATGTAGTTGGGATCCGCGTGTCTCTCGAAGAAGTCGTTGACGACCTTCAGAGTCCCGGCCTGCTGTGACCTGCACGACAAATGAATGGACCAAGCTATGCGCTTAGTCGCACGCCCGCCCGATGAATGAGCGCACTCACTGACCGTGGCGATCGCAGGTGAAAGTCCGACACCACACAGATCTAAAGTGAATCGAGATCATGCGACAAGCAGTCCGTATTGAGAGCGTCTGCCTCACCGTGTAATAGTCGACGCCGGTCGTTGCTGTGTCATTGGCAGCCATTGCAGTGGAGTCCCGATAATGTATGCACCCGGAAGGTGAACACAGCAGGAGCATGCACAAAAGGAACAGCATGGTCGGCGGTGAGTGAACCGACACAAGACGGCGACAGGCCAAGAAAGAAGATTAGCTGCAAAGGCGGTTGCGAACTTTACTTGAAGGTGGGGCCTGGGGGCCCGGCCGTCTCCGAGTCTCCAGAACGGTAAGCGGAAACAGGTAGGCGTCAGTTTGAGCGTCAGTTTGAGCATGCGGGCCGGAGAAAGAAAGGGGAATCGCCGCTCATCTGCAGTTTGGAGGGTTTCGGTGGACGCGAGTGACGTGTGCTTTCATCCATCCATCCATCCATCCACTTTTCACACATCCTCCCAAACAACGGGTCGTTTCCCTTTTCCAACGGTGTGCAGCCCGTTCGTGCGGGGGATACATAGGAACGACGATTCGATATAGACAGTCTATCTGGGTCGACAATGAGCTCATGTGGTGCCAGGGTACATTTCCCGCAGGATGGCCGACACGCCCGTCTTGAAGGTGACGTTGGCAACGTCCGAGTAGCTATCATCTGCACACGCGCACACATACAATGTTTGCAAGCCCATCCATCCATCCATCCATCCTCGCGGCTTACCGGTGTTGGTGTGCGTCCAAGGGCGGGAGAACCACCCTTTCCTCCACCAGGGCCAGCAGTGCCCCCCACCAACGCCACCATCACCATCACCATCACCATCACCATCACCATCACCAGCGGCAGCAGCAGCTGCCGCTGCGGCACCACCAGCTGAACACGCAAGACACAAGACAACCTCGGTATGAAAATGGCACTTTTGGGTGCATCTGCCCATCTGTACATACGGGTGCTGGTGGCCTCGCCTTTGGGTGGGACGGATGAGCACAGCCACTCGCGGAAGAGGTCGTCGACGGTAGGGTACAGGCGCAAAATCTCCTTCAGGTGATCTACCTGGCCAACAGAGACAAATATCAAGCAGCATCCATTGTCTGACTTGGTGTGTGCGCCAGGTCACCGCCCCTATGCATCTCCCTGACCTGCTTGTCGGACGGCTCGGCGTGGGTGTGGAGTTCGCCAAACCACTGCATCATGCCCGTCAGCACCGTCTCGGGGGCGGCCTTGACCTGACACAACACAACACAACACAACACATGCCGCTACATGCATTCATCGGCGTGCCTTCCCTTAAGGTCACTCACCGCGCTAATAAGGTTGGCGGGAGGTCGCCCCAGGACGACGGCCGTCGTGGGCGAGCCTTCCTCGTCATCGTCAGCCACTACCCCCTCCCGCCCCTCTCCCTGCCCGCTACAACCATTCCCCTCGACCCTCTGGCGCTTCGATGCCCCGTTGCCGCCCGGCGGGCCGCCTCTCTTGTTCTGGTCTTTCTGCATCTGGTCCCTTGCCCAGCCCTCGATGAACCTGAGCGCATTGCGGTCGGCGACGAGGCCGTCCTTGGTCAGTCGCTGCCTGCTGGTGGGGCTGCGGCCGCTCTGTCCATCAAACCGAAAGATAGGGGGGAGTGGAGTGGCGTGTCCTTTGGTCAATGCTGCTGTGCTGTGGTGGTCCCCTCCCTCTCACTTACGCGGTCGAGGTGGTGACAGATGGCTTCGTACTCGTATATCGTCTGGGAGGTGGCGCTGTGCACTGGCTGGTGGGGAACGCCCAACGTGATGGGGCACCGGGGAAGGAATTCTGCACACAAATAAGGACACACACCATCAATCAGACGTTTGGTGCGGGTGCGGGCCAGTGCGGCCGCGTATCTGGTACCTGGTTTCTCCCGCAGGTCGTCGATGAACTTGCACACATCGTCCGGCAGCCGCGGAACCTTCACCGGCGGTTGGCCACCTGCTGCTGCTGCCGCTGGTGCACCACCTAGACCAGCGTCGTCATTGGGGTGGCCCAGGGGGTTGCGCACCTGCACCAGCGTCGTCACTGGGATATTGATGCGCAACCCCCCACGCCCACGCCCTGCCTCGTGCAGCTGCGAGGAGCCGACAGCGTAGGAGGGGACGGCAACGCCAGGGTATCTGTCTGGATGGTATCCGTACGGTGTCGGGTACGGATACGGATATCCGTACGGTGTCGGGTACGGATACGGACATGGCCAGCAGGCAGCTGCTGCTGCCGCAGCTGCCTGCTGGCCTTGCGAGGGTGAAGGGGGTGCGGCGGCCAAGGCCAGGACGGGGGGAGCGCTGTTGTTGGTGACGGCGTATTGAGCGACGGGCAGACGCATGGAAGGGCCCTGCTGTTGCTCCTGCGGGACGGGGGGACGGTTTGGGGCCGACGCAGCAGCCGGAGCAGCAGCGGCCGCACTTTGCTGGCCGTGTGAGGCCGCGGGACGGGCTGCCATCACTTGCGCAGCAGGGCTGGGATGCGGCCGAGCCACCGGTGCGGGGGGTCGGGCGCCGTTGTTGGATGAGGCGCCCTGAGCTCTCTGACCGGTCGGCCGAGTGCCCGAGGACGAGCCATGGCCAAAGAAGGGAAGCATCTGCACACACACCAGCAGAGAGAAGAAGGGCTCGCTGTCAGAGATGCCCGCTGCACATCGCGTGCAAGTGGTGCATCATCCCCTTACCGATGAGCTACTTTGCCGACGGGCAGCGCCGTGGCATTGACGTGTGGAATGCGGTGCGGCCGCGCCTCAGGGCCGCTGTGCGCCCTGGCTGTGCGCCTTCAGCAGCTAGAGGAAGGCGCCGGCGCACGGATCTCACCTGTTCCCGCGACCTCAGTCATGAGTATACGGCCATGTGGAATCTGCAGGGTTAGGGTTTAAACCCTTCAGTCCCGGCCCTGAAAAGTATTATGTATTGAAGGGCTCAGAGAGACAGATACAGGAAAGCATGTCTCTGTCAGTCACGCCACGCGATGGAAAGACTGTGCGCTTGCGGCATGGACGCATGGATAAGTGGATGGATGAATGGAACACACGCATACAAATAGCAGCATTGACCAGCAGTCACAAATATCCATCCACCAGAGAGAAAGGAACACAACACGCCGATCAGCAAGCCCCTGCCCCGTCCCCAGCAGCCCACCAACCCGCAGCCCAATATGTCCAGTCAATCATCGTCCTCCTCATCGGACTCAAACTGCCTCAGCACGTCGGTGATCTCCTCTTTGTACTCTTCCACCACCTGCTGCACCTCCTGCAGCCGCACCCTGTTCCGGCTGTACTGCCGCTGCCGGTGCTGCTCGAACAGCCCCTCCATCCACGCCGTTATCTGCTTCTGCATGTCCTCGTCGCGGAACTGAATCAGCTGGATGTGGTGCTCGTTGAAGGCCGTCACCGACGCCATCAGCTCCTCGCGAGACGAAAGGAAACGAGCCCTGCAGACAGGTCGATCGGTGGTTGGGGTGTGTGTGTATCTCTCTCTCTGTTTTGGCTTGCTTACTTTCTGGGGTCTGCGTCGTCGGGGTTTGCCTGGTAGAGCTCCAGCTCAGATGAGACGCCCTCAGTGATACCTGCCACACGCGCAGACAAACAAACATTGAGGTCTGCGTCGTGTCTCTGCCTGCGTGTCACTCCACTCACTTGTGGCGAATTTCTTCTCGAGTTCCTCGAGCTGTCTGAAGAAGTCGGAGCCCTTCTCGCTGAGGTACTTGCAGTACTCCCGGATGACCACCTCAAACTCATCCAAGGCCTCCTGCACACACACCACCCCTATGCCCAAACCACCGACAACCGGACAGTCTCACATACCTCCAGGGTCTCCTGAAGCATGGTCTCATTGGTCATGAGGTGCTGGTGGAGGTCGTCCAGGTCGTCGAGGAGGTGGTTGACAGACTCCTCTGCCGAGATGGGTTCGTCGTTGACCTCCCGCAGCACTTTCTTCTTGAGTGTCTGGAAGCCCTTGAGGAGCTGCTTGGCGTCCTGCTCGCTGTCCTCCTCGGCCTTCTTGACCGCTGCCTCAAATCTGATGGACAGATGCATGGATGCATGGATGGATGGTGGATGGTGGATGTGGTGAGGGTGATTGTGGTGTTGAGGCCAGCAGCTCACTTTCTGACTTTTTGAAGGCGGAGCTCGTTCTTCTCGATCAGACTCTGGTGACAGGCAGAGGTGGACAGGGAATTGAAACAAACGCAAGTTGGCTGCATGTGTGACGTCTCTCTCCCTCTCTCTCTGTACGTGTCTCTTTCTGTACGTCTCGTAGTATTTTGACGAGTTCCTGGAGTTTTTCCTTGAAGTTGGTCTTGAGCTCGAGGTAGTCCCTCAGGATCTGCATCGCCTCCGGCTCGACAGACTTGTCAAACATGTCCTCAAACAACCCCTCGGTGCCGTCCACAAAGCTCTCCTGCACACAAACCGCCAACACACATACGTCTCGGTTCGGCCCTTGTGTGTGTTGGTGGTATGTGCCTCCCTGGGTATACACACCCGCAGCTCAGCGAGGATCTTCTGTTTCTCCGTGTCAGCTTCCTTGGCGGCCAGCTGGGCGGCCTCCTTCTCGCGTAACTCACGGAGCTCATCATCCTGGCTCGTCTCCAGTGCTGCCGCAATCTGTGACACACACACACACACACACACGGGGAGAGAGAGAGAGAGAGAGAGAGAGGGAGGGGGGGGGAGAAGGCAATCGATGCAGTCATGAAGATGCTGGCCAATGTGTGTCTGTGTGGTACCTTTTTCTTGTCGACTAGCATGTAGTCGAGGTACTTGAGGTGGCTGAGGAAGGCCAGCACGTGGGATTGGTAGTGCTCCTCCTTGCAGATGGGGTTGCCCTCCAGACACAGACACCGAAGGCCGCTGAACGAACGAAGCGAATCAACCTGAACACACCACACAACAAAGAGGCGATTCAACCCGCTTCTTCAAGAGGTTCCGTTGTCGCTCGCCTGTTTGAGTTCGGTGATGTGGTTGCGGCCGAGCGAGAGGACGTTGAGCTTTCGGCAGCTCGAGAGGCCCTCCACCTTGGTGATGCGGTTCGAGTATAGAGAGAGGTCAGTCAGGTTGCACAAGTTGTCGAGCCCCTGGATCTTGGCGATGTTGTTGAACGACAAATCTGCATGCACACAGACAGTTTGAGATGGAATGGTAGAGGGGGCTGAGGTCTGACTGACCGAGCCATGTAAGGTTGACAAGGTGGTCGAGGTTCTTGATCTCCTCGATGATGTTGTTGTCCAGCCGCAGCAGCTTCAGACGCGTGAACGTCTGCAGGTTGTCAATGTGCAATATGTCTGGGTGCGGTGAACGACACACGACACAATCACCCAACGCATGCGCATGCCTTCCCCTCTCCGACCCGCAACGCATATATGCGTACGTACTATGGAAGGAGAGTGCGAGTGAGGTCACGAACGGGAAGTCGATTGGCTCGGTGAGCTCTCTGGTGAGCAGGAGAGGCTCGAGGACGCCCTGTCTGAGAAGGTCCTCGTCGATGACCTGCGGCTCCACCACCTCTGTCTTCTTCTTCCGCCGAGTCCCGCCGGCCTGCGCAACGACGGTCGCCATTCTGTCTTGTTGCTATCTGCGCTCTGCAATGGGGCCGCCTTGCGAGAGAGATAAACGTCTTCTTCGGAAGTTGTCCCAGTGCATGCAGACTGTGGGCCCACAGCTGCCCCCATAGCACGCAACCCCGTTTGAGACAGGGCCCTTGTTTGTCCCACTCTACACCGGCATGAATCACTCGAGGAGCACTCTGGGGCTGACCTCTCTGCCTCTGCGCAAGGGGGACCTCCTATGGCACCATCCCACCTACAGCGAAGTACTACTACGGGCCCGGGGGATCATCGCAAAGAGGGCCAGGCAGTGACGGCGAGATGGGTGCACATGTGTGTTTATGTCCGTGGTGCATCGGTGCATCAGGTGCGCAGCAGGAAGGTGGACTCGCCGCGTCTCATCCAGGCAAAGTGAGTGAGACGACGGACGGGACAGACAGTCACATGCAGTGCAGTGAGTGCATCGATCTCTCTCCTGTTTGCATGACGTGTGCAGGAAGTCAGTGGAGGAGCATCGCCCCCCATCCCCCGAATCCCAACGCGACAAAGACCGGTCAGCCACCGATCTCTGGGCTGCTCTTTCTCTCCCCTGTTGCGTTCATGGCGTTGCAATGCATTGCAATCAGTCCCTTGACGCACCGCGAGCGGAAGGTGGTGTACATGACGACCACCTACAACTTCATGAAGGAGGACGGCCCCATGCCCAGCAAGGTCTACAACGTCCAGACGCAGAAGAATCTCATGCAGCAGTACTACCCAAAATGCGGCAAGAACACCCGGTTCGTCCCGGCCAAGCAGGCCATCCCGCCACCGCCCGACACAAGAGCCGTAAGACAGCCTAGGAGGGAGCCTTTTTTTTGCCTGATTCTTCTGTCTGTCTGTCTGCCTGTCTGTCTGTCTGTCTGTCTGTGTGCAGACGCACAGCAAGGGTCACGACGTCGTGTATGACGGCAAGGAGGGTGACGAGCTGGCGGAGAAGGTGCAGTTCAGCAAGAGGGACTCTTCCATCCCTCAGGAGTTCTGGCGCTCGGGCGTCAAGACACACTGGGCCGACGACAGACTCGAGCGGCTCCGACCGTACGCAACCACAAGGAAGGGAGCTGTGTCCATGTCTCTCTTTGTGTCTCTTTGTGTATGGTTGGCTCCAGGAAGACTCCCCAGCAGCAGCGGGCCGCAACGGCTGCTCAGCGCAAGACCTATGAGCTTTCGTCGGAGCTCTTCGGCCGCGCGCGACTCCACGGCCTCAGCGAATACCGCAAAGAGGAGGCGAGCAACCACCCCACACCGACACCTTATGTGTCCTTTGTCGCTTGTCTTCAATTTGCGCTCCGTTTTTGCGTGTGTGCAGGTCCAGCGCCCGTTGTGCTTCGTGACGGATCAGCTGCGGATGGACCACACGCGCCTGGGCAACTACGGCAAACCCCCTCCACCGCCGGCCCCAGTGCCCCCCACCCCGCCGCCCACAGAAGCCTCCCCGCTGCAGCAGCAGCAGCAGCAGCAAGACCAGCAACCAGGGTACTCACAATATGTTCCACTGTTGACAGAGGGGCATGTGTCTATGTCTCTTTGTAGAGGTGAGGAGGCACCTCCCCCGGCAGCCCCTCTAGCTGCTGCCCCTGCAGAGGATTTGAAGCCCAAGCGGCGGATGGCCATCTGCGCGTCGGTGCCGCAGCTAGGCTTGAGCGGCATGAGCGCGCGGGAGCGGAAGAAGCTGGGCATGCTTGAGTCCGAGCACGGCAGCCTCCACTGCCCTGCGCATCCCGCATTCACCTCAAAGGTCGGCCGACAGTCTGGGTCGAACGATGAGATGAGAGAGGGAGAGAGGGAGGGGAAGAGAGAGAGAGAGAGAGAGAGAGAGGGAGAGAGAGAGACCAGGTTTTGTCTGATGTCCCGTGCAGCACGTTGCGCAGCGGAAGGAGCACGAGAAGGAGGAGAAAGAGCTGCAGGAGTACAACGAGTACCGGGGCCGCACCGAGAAGAACTATTCCAGTCAGCACACCACACCCGGACGACATGCCTGCCTGCCGTGGGTCGGTCCAGGAATGTGCTGTCTCTCTGTCTGTGGTGTGGTGTGGTGTCTGTCAGATTTGTTGGGTTACCAGAGCCCGCCCAAGACGGGCCGTGAGCTGGAGCGGCACAAGAGCTTCCACACCATGAAGACCGTCATGCAACACGGATCGGCAGACGCCAGAGAGCTCAGACACGTACACGCGCGTACACACACGCACAAGAGGCGTCACTGCCCCCTGTAACAACTCCACACAGACCAATCTGTTCAACTTCACCAACACCAACACAGAGAAATACGCCCGATCCGCCCGCCTCTATGGCGACCAAGGTCACTCATCCCC